CTCTCCTCTCTCTCCTCTCTCTCTCTCATCTCTCCCCCCCCCCGCCTCTCTCTCTCTCCTCCCCTCTCTCTCTCTTTTCTCTCCCCTCTCTCCTCTCTCTCCCTCTATCTCTCTCCCTCTCTCTCTCCCCCTCTTCTCTCTCTTCTCTCTCTCTCCCCTTCCCCTCTCCTTTCCCTCTACTCTCCCTCTCTCTCCTCCCCCTTCTCTCTCCCCCCTCTCCCCCCCTCTTCTCCTCCTCTCTCTCTTCTCTCTCTCTTCTCTCTCTCTTCTCTCTCTCTCTCCCCTCTTTTCCTCTCTCTCCCCTCCTCTCTCCTCCCTCTCTCTGTCATCTCTCTCCTCTCCCTCCTCTCTCCTCTCATCTCTCTTCCTCCCCCCTCTCTCCCCCCTCTCTCCCTCTCTCTCTTCTCCTCTCTCTTCTCTCTCTCTCTCTCTCTCTGCCCCCCTCTCTCTCTCTCTCCTCTCTCTCTCTTCTCTCTCCCTCTCTCTCCTCTCTCTCTCCCCTCTCTTCTCCCCTCTTCTCTCTCTCTCTCTCCTCTCTCTCCCCTCTCTCCTCTCTCTCTCCCCTCTCCTCGCCCCTCTTCTCTCTCTCTCTCTCTCTCTTCTCTCTCTCCCTCTCTTCTCCTCTCTCTTCTCGCTCCCCTCTCTCCTCTCTCTCTCTCCTCTCTCCCCCCCCTCTCTCTCTCTCTCTCTCCCCCCCCTCTCTCGCTCTTCTTCTCTCTCCCCTCTCTCCTCTCTCTCTCTCCCTCTCTCTCCCTCTTCTCTCTCTCTCCTCTCTCTCTCTCTCCCCCCCTCTCTCTCTTCTCTCGCCTCTCTCTCGGTCTCTCTTCTCTCTCCCCTCTCTCCTCTCTCTCTCCCCTCTCTCTCAGCCCTCTCTGGATCTCTTCTCTCTCTCGTCTCTCTTCTCTCTCTCTCTCCCCCCCATCTCTCTCATCTCCTCTCTCTTCTCTCGTCTCTCTCCCCTCCTCTCCTCTCTCTCTCCTCTCCCCTCAAGTCCTCTCTCTCTGCTTCTCTCGCCCCTCTCTCCTCTCTCTCCCCTCCTCTCCCCCTCTTCTCTCTCTATCTCTCTCTCTCCCCTCTCTCTCCTCTCTCTCTCTCCCCCCTCGCTCTCAATCTCATCCCCCCTCTCTTCGCCCTCTCTCTCTCTCTCTCTCTTCTCTTCTCTCTCTCTCTCTCCCCCCCTCTCTCTCTCTCCCTCTCTCTCTCTTCTCTCTCCCTCTCTCCTCCTCCTCTCTCTCCCCTCTCTCTCCCCTCTTCTCTCTCTCTCCTCCTCTTCTCTCTCCCGAACCTCTCTCTCTCTTCTCCCTCTCTCATCTCTTCTCTCCTCCCCTCTCTCCTCTCTCTCCCGCTCTCTCTCCCCCTCTCCTCATCTCTTCTCTCTCTCTCCCCGCTCTCTGCCTCTCTCTCTCTCCCCCCTCTCTGCTCCCCCCTCTCTCCCCCCTCTCTCCCCTCTCCCTTCTATTTCTTCTCTCTCTTCTCTCTCTCTCTCTCTCTCTCTCCCCCTCTCGTCTTCCTCTCCGCTCTCTCTCTCTTCTCTCTCCCCTCTTTCCTCTCTCTCCCCTCTCTCTCCCCCCTTCTCTCTCATCTTCTCTCTCTCTCCACCCTCTCTCTCCTCTCTCTCTCTCCCCCCTCTCTCCCCCTCTCTCCCCTCTCTCTTCTCTCCTCTTCTCTACTCTCTCTCTCTCTCTCCCCCCTCTCTCTCTCCTCCTCCCTCTCTCTCTCTTCGGGTCCCCTCTCTCTCCCCTCTTCTCTCTCTCCTCTCTCCTCCCCTCTCTCCTCTCTCTCTCCCCTCTCGCTCCGCTCTCTCTCTCTCTCTCTCCTCTCTCTCTCTCCCTCTCTCTCCTCTCTCTCTCTCTCCCCTCTCTCGCTCTCTCTCTCTCTCTCTCTCTCCCCCCTCTCTCTCTCTCTCTCACCCCCCCATCATCTCTCTTCTCTCGCTCCTCTCGAGGGATTCGGTCTCCTAGTTCTCTCTCATGCCTCTCTCTCCCGTCCCCCAATTTCCCTTTTACGGATCTGCGCCAGTCGGTTCTCCATTCTCGGGAATCGGGCGGTGTCTCGCGCCCTTGGTCTGGGGCAAAGCCTCCCAGCTTAGTTCGTCCCGTCTAGAAGGGTCGTCCTCTCTCTCTCCCTCTCTCTCCCCTCTTCTCTCTCTCTCTCTTCCTCTCTCCCCGCAGGGCTCCCCTCTCTCTCCTTCTCTCTCTCCCCCGCGCTCTCGCCCCCTCTCTCCCCCTCTCTCCTCTCCCCTCTCTCTCGTTCTCTCTCTCTTCTCTCTCTCTCTCTCTCTCTCTCTCTCGCCCCCCCTCTCTCTCTCGTCCCTCTCTCGCTCTTCTCTCTCTCTCAGGTCCCGCTCCCCCCTCCAGGGAGGGCTTCTCCCCCCTCTCTCTCTCTCTCTGGTCTCTCTCTCTTCTCTCTCCCCTCTCTCCTCTCTCTCCCTCTCTCTCCCCCCTCTCATCTCTCTTCTCTCTCTCTCCCCCCTCGCTCTCCGCTCTCCCCCCTCTCTCCCTCTCTCTCCCCTCTCTCTCTTCTCTCTCTCTTCTCTCTCTCTCTCTCCTCTCTTCCCCCTCTCTCTCCTCCTTCTCTCCCCTCTCTCTCTCTCTCTCTCCTCTGCTGCTGGCCATCAGCATCTCCAGCAGCAGCGCCACGGGTGGGATGCCGGGTGGGATGGCCGCCAAGCCCAACATCCCTGACTTCGCGCTGCAGTCGAGTCTTGCAGCGCTGAGGGGCAGAGGGGCCCTTGGAGAAAGGGGATCCGGGGAGCCCCCCCCACTTGATAGCAGCTCCAAGGCTTTGGGAGGCAGTGTGTGTGTGGGGGGAGAGGGGCTCTTGATGGCTGGCCCTTTGCAAAGGTGGTTCTGGGTAAATGCACACTGTGTGGAATTCATTGTGGAAGGGAGAAAGCATCCAGTGAGATAGTGTCTCTTCTTTCTTTCTTATTTTTTCTTTCTTTCTTTCTTTCTTCTTTTCTTTCTTCTCTTTCTTTCTTTCTTTCTTTCTTTCTTTCATTCTCTTTCTTTTTCTTCTTCTTCCTCCTTCCTTTTCTTTCCTTTCTTCCTTTCTTCCTCCCTCCCTCCCTTTCTTTTTTCCCTTTCCCTCCTTCCTTCTTTCCTTTCCCTTCCTTCCTTATCTTTCTTTCTTTCCTTTTTTCTTTTTCTTTCTTTTCTTTCTTTTTTCTTTCTGCCTTCCTTCCTCCTTCCTTCCTTCCGCCTTTCTTATCTTTCTTTTCTTTCTTCTTTCTTTCTTTCTTTTTCTTTCCTTGCTTCCTTCCTTCCCTCCGCTCCTTCCTTTCTTTTTCCCTTTCCTCCTTCCTCTTTCCTTTCCCGTCCCTTCCTCCTTCTTTCTTCTGCTGGCTTTCTTTCTTTCTTTCTTTCTTCTCTTTCTTTTTCTTGTTCTTTCTTGCTTTGTTCTTTCTTTCTTGTCTTTCTTTGCTTTCTTTCTTTGTCTTTCTTTCTTTCTTTTTGTCTTTCTTTTTTCCTTTTAATAACCTGATGGAAGCCCTGCTTTTTCCATTAGCAAAATGCAGCGTTTTGGCCTCTGTTCAAAGCTGGCCGGGCTCTGTCGAAAGGCTATAAATAATACGGGCCTGGCCTCATACCAGATGGTAAAGCACCCGCCCCCCTCCCTTTCGTCCCCATCTTCCTCGCACCATCCTTAAGCACGCATCCTTAAGCGAGGGCAACGGGGACGATTGCGGCTTCTTCCCTCGGGACAGCCAGTGAGTTAACTGGCTGGGACCCGAGCCGTGTAAAACCTTGCGATGTTTGCCAAGCATCCTTGCCGCTAGCTCCTCCTCGGGACGCGGTTCTCAAGAAGGATGGACCGCTGGGGAGGCTGGACTGGGGCATTTGGTGGCCGTGCCTGTGGCTCGATTCTATCCTGATCCGCTGGCCTCCCGGTCGAAGGGCAGGAGAAGACTGGAAAAGGCGTCATGGCCGCACGCCTGGCCACATGCATCACCATCTGGCTGACTCTCGAAGAAGTCTCGAATCGTCTGGGCTAAAAACAATTGCAAGGCCAGGAGTTTAGCCGGACCTCATAAACAGCCAGCGGTGAGGAGCAAAGCTCGAAAATATTTTTCCTGACCACTTGCTGCTCAAGCAAGCAGATGCTTATTAAGGGTATAAGGAGATGTAAAAATGGACCCGGCTCTCTGTTTTGCAGTGGGCATCGTGTGTGTTGTGTGTGTGTGTGTGTTTGTGTGTTTGTGTGTGTGGGTGAGAGAGAGAGAGAGAGAAGAGAGAGAGAGAGAGAGAGAGAGAGAGAGAGAGAGAGAGAGATTAGAGAGAGGCTCCACCAGCATATTCAGAGGCACCTGGGAAGGATTTTGGGGCGCACAAAAACAACACAGTCTCCCTATTTCCTTTCATGGGATTCCAAATGCAGCTAAACCCGTTGAGGCTTCATGGCAACCCTGATCACGTAGACGAGGAATGTCTACAGCAGTTGGCAGGCTTTTTTCGTTTGAAACCGGGGGGGGGTCTTCAAACTCGGCCCTTTTACGACTTGTGGACTTCAACCTCCCATAATTCCTCAGCTGAGGAATTCTGGGAATTGAAGTCCAAAGTCGTAAAAGGCCCGAGTTTGAAGACCCCTTGTTTAAAAGGATGGGGGGGCAGGGGGGTTGGAATAATCCCCTTGACATGTTTTGGGGTTGACACGGTTTGCTGCAACGAAAGCCGTTGGCTGACTTACTTTCTGACCAACTTCACGGAGCATTTTGGTTTTTTAATTTGAAGGCAAAACAGGAACCCGGCCGAATATTCCTCTCCATGAAAGGAAAAACCGGCCCTTAGAAGTGAAGCAAGTTTCAGCATGGAGCCTCTTGCCTCCCGCCTCCCCAGAAGGCGCGAGTTTGATTTTTGAGCTAGCGAGAGGAAAGAACGGCGCCTGAAAAAAACCTGGGTGGATTCAGGTAGCTGTGAAGCCCTGGAATCTACGTTCGGGGCCCTACTGAAAAGTGGGGCAGGCCACGTCTCCTCATGTTGGCTTGTTGCTTCTCTTTTCAGGTGGGAGGAGGAAGTGGCCAAGCGGATGCGGTTGGAGTCGAGATGGTGGAGACGCTGCAAGAGGTGAGACTTTCTCCCGTCAAGGGGGTAACTTGTTGGTTTTGCTGATCGTCGGGACTGGAGCCCTGGATGTTTGCCCGCAGTACACCAAATCTCTGCCGCTGAAGCCTGAATAAGAAAATCAGCGGAGCCGCCCTGGATAGGGAATCCCAGGTCATTTAGTCCAGTGGTTCTTACCTTTTTGAACGAATTCGCCCCCTTATTTATTTATTTATGAGACTTATATAACCGCTTTAAGTGCGAGCACTCTCTAAGCGGTGTACACCAGTAAGCAATGTATATATATATATATTTTACATTGCCCCCAACAATCTGTGGTCCCCTTGAGCCCAATGAGGAAGTTTCAGCATCGCCTGCCCCCCCCCCCACATCAACTATCATCACAACATATGGGAAATAATTCTTCCATTTATCCAAACCCTTTTTTTGTTTTTACTTTAAAATTGTCATCAGACCTATCGATGCAAATAATTTATTTCCAGTCTTTTTCCCCCTATCTCCCATATTCCTGGCCAATGCACGCCACTGTATGGGTAGAGGCTGCTGCAAACACGCATGACGATAACGATGCTGTCTTCACATACGTACGGCGTTCTGTCCTGAAGCTAGCTGGAGGAACATTGGAAAACACAATTCAATCCACTAAGAGCGAGCGATCTGATGTTTTTGTACGACAGATATACAGCCATTCACTGCACGAAAAAGTCTCAAAAGTGTCCCCAAAACTTTTCGCTCCATCGCCCCCCTGAAAAATGAAATCACCCCCCAGGGGGCCATATTGCCCAGGTTAAGAACCACTGTGCTAGGCCTCCCTTGGGGCATCGGGGAGCCAATCAGCCGTGCCTTCCTGGCTCTGACCAGACCTCTTCTGCAAGGGGTCTCCAAACTTGGCAGCTTTTAAGACTTGTGGACTTCAACTCCCAGAATTCCCCAGCCAGCCTTGCTGGGAGTTGAAGTCTTAAAAGTGGACAAGGGTGGAGACCCCTGCTCTTCTGGATGGTTCTTCCTCGTTGAAAGGAGAGCAGCCTCAGGCCCGCCTGCACGGGCTGGCAGGTTTGAAAAATAGGTAATATTGCTGCCCTAGTTGGGCTAGTCCTTCCTCTCTGCAGTAAGGAATCCCAGAGTGGGACAAACTGGGGCTGACCCATTGCAGATTGGAAACAGGTCTCTTGCTCTGCAAAGACGGGCAGGAAGGTGGGCCGCCCTCTGGAAAATAAGGGAGAAATTCATGGGTGCTGGCACCCCCCCCCCCCCAAAAAAAATTGGGACCCGATTGAGTGAATCGGGGAGAAATTTGCACTCTGCCTCAAGTAAGCCTGGGGGTTCAGTGGGGCCAAGATTAGTCTTCCGCCTGACCGTTGGGGGTCTCCTTCCTGCCGTTGGGGTCTCCCATGGGGGTTTCTCCTTCCTCCCATTAGGAAGCCCACGAAGCTGAAGCTCTCCAGGAGGAGCTGAATGAGAAAATCGGGAGGCTGAAAGCCGAGCTGGTGGTCTTCAAGGGCCTGATGAGCGACGTAAGTACCCCAGGCGGCCGTCATTCTCACGAAGCCACCGAAGGACAGACAGAGACCCGCTGGCTGAGGGCTGCTTGTAGTTAGATTTGCCCGCCTGGTATGACCCCCCCAATGCATCAGACCAGCCCGCTCCTCCTCCTCCTCCTGCTTCCCCTCCGATTGGTGTCAATGCATTAACTTGCTGCCCCCCCCCCAGCACCCCGATCTCTCCCCCCCCCCCAGCGGCTGGCAGCCAGTGCTGGGCCCAAGCAGCAGCCTCTCAGAAGCCCCCCCCTCCGCATGAGACTCCAAAGGCAGGGGGCACCCCTCACAAGGCTGATTTGCTCTCCTCCCCTGCACTCAGGTGACCGCCTGCTTCCCGCGCTGTCCCTGCAGGGACTAATTGGGGGACATTCAGATACAGAGACGACGTTCCCCTTTCCCACGTTCAGGGGTTACGAGCGTGTTTGGCTGGAGTTTCTTTTGGGGGGGTGTCGTGACTTTCCCCTTTGTTTTAGGGGAGCCATGTTTGGGGACTGGGAAGCCCTTCTCGTTCTTAGCTCAGTGTGCTCCCCCCCCCCTAAAAAAACCAGGAACTCAGAAAACTATCCTGGATGGTTTCAAGTATGGGCTTCTGTTTTTGAAAACCTTAGTTCAGTGGTTCTTAACCTTTTTAATGCTGCGACCCCCAACCGGTCGTAAGTCAAGGACTACTCAACCGGTCGTAAGTCGAGGACTACTCAACTGGTGCAGCACCGTTTGCAGAATGGGACTTTTGGCGGGCTCAGCAGGGCAGAGACAGCCTGGACAATCCCTATTGGCTTTTGAAAGCCAATAGAATTAGACTCTACTCAAGAGAGTCTACTCTATTGGCTTTCAAAAGCCAATAGAATAAAAGTTAGGAGCACAGCTAAGGAAAAGGGGGGAAAAATGGCGGACTGCGTTGTTTGGCGACCCCCGTGAAATGGTCATTCGACCCCAAATGGGTCCCGACCCACAGGTGGAGAACCACTGCCTTAGTTGCTTTGTCTGTCTTCCGCTGGTCTTTTTGAAAATCGGGTACACAGCTGGCCAGATAGCAAAGGTGAGACTCCTTTATCGCCCGAGGCAAAATGTCAGCTTTCCTTCTTTGTGTGCTGAAGTGGGTCCCCCCCACCCCACACACTTCGTTTGTTGGCTTTAGATTCCAAGACTTTTCATCCTCTTTCTCACGAGAGTGGAGGACAAGAACCTCATTGAGGGCCGGTTGCTAACACTGAGATGCCGATGGAGCTTCTCCATCATCCAGGTCCCAGTGGTCCCAAAGGAGCTTTTCTAAAAGGCAACTGGACTTTCCTGATTGTTTGATGTTTTCCCCTTGAAAATATTTTGCTTCTCATCCAAGGAGCTTCTGAAGAACTGAAGAAGCTTCTTGGATGAGAAGCAAAACGTTTTCAAGGGGAGAAAAAAAAAACCCAACGAAGTGGAAAAGCACCTTTTGGGTTGAGATAGCTAGCTCAAGGCAAGCTTTTTTCTTTCCCAGCAGGCTGCTGAGTTTCCTAGGCCAAGGATAGGCAACCTGGGCTCTTTTATGACTGGTGGACTTCAACTCCCAGAATTCCTGAGCCAGCCATTCTGAGGGGAAAGGGAGAGGTTTCCAAGCTGAGCCAGGCTGGCTCAGGAATTCTGGGAGTTGAAGTCCACGAGTTACAAAAGAGCCAAGGTTGCCTACCTCTGATCTAGGGGAATCCAATGGCCATATAAGGAGGTCATCACGTTGGTCTAGGCCAGGGGTAGGCAACCTTGGCGCTTTTATGACTCGTGGATTTCAACTCCCAGAATTCCTGAGCCAGCCACGCCAAGGGGAAAGGGAGAGGTGTCCAAGCTGAGCCATGTTGGCTCAGGAATTCTGGGAGTTGAAGTCCATGAGTCATAAAAGAGCCAAGGTTGCCGACTCCTGGCCTAGTCTGTGCAGCCATTAGGTCTACAATAAAGCCCATTTAGAGCAGGGGTCTTCAAACTTGGTCCCCTCATGACTCGTGGAACTCAACTCCCAGAATTCCTGAGCCAGCCATGCTGAGGGGAAAGGGAGAGGTTTCCAAGCTCAGCCAGGCTGGCTCAGGGATTCTGGGAGTTGAAGTCCACCCATCTCTGAGTGGCCAAGGGTGAGAAATACAGGCCTAGGCCAGGGGTAGGCCACCTTGGCTCTTTTATGACTCGTGGACTTCAACTCCCAGAATTCCTGAGCCAGCCACGCTGAGGGAAAGGGAGAGGTTTCCCAGCTGAGCCACGAGTCATAAAAGAGCCAAGGTGGCCTACCCCTGAGTCCTAGGTGGACTTTGTGTTTCAGATAGTCCCTGTACCCCATTGTAAAGGTCTACACACACACACACACACACACACACACACACACACACACACACACACACACCACCACCACCATCACCACCACCACCCTGGGAAAGCCCCCAACAGCTCCCTCCCTTCGAGGGGAGCGCCTTCCCTAAGTGGGGCCTTGGTGGTGCTCGGAAAAGGGGCAGCCTCTGTGCAAAGGCCGGCCTGATCCGTGGAGAGCGGTCCTTCCCAGTCTCTCTGCTCTTCCCAGGTTTGTAACCCCCCCCCTGCTGTCCTTCCCCGCAGCCCATGACCGATCTGGACTCAAAGATCCAAGAGAAAGCCATGAAAGTGGACATGGACATCTGCCGGCGTATCGATATCACAGCCAAGCTGTGCGATGTAGCACAGCAGCGCAACTCGGAAGACGTTTCCAAGATATTCCAGGTGATTCGGTTGGCCCGGCCCTGCGCAGGAGGAGAAGATGGCTGTGTCGTTTAGGCAGGAGAGGAGGAGGAGGAGGAGGAGGAAGCAGGAGTGGAGCTGGGGGAGGCGGCTGGTGACCTCCCTGGCCCCACTCTCCCCTCCTTCCCTCCTCCTGGCCGGGTTCAAAAGTCCCAGACTCCCAGGAGGAGACGTGTAGTTGTCAGGAAGTCCCACTTGGAGAATCTGCCTGTTTCTCTAGACCAGGGGGAGGCCACCTTGGCTCTTTTATGACTCGTGGACTTCAACTCCCAGAATCCCTCAGCCAGCATGGGGGAACTATGGCCCCCTTCATGACTCGTAGACTTCAACTCCCAGAATTCCTGAGCCAGCCATGCTGAGGGGAAAGGGAGAAGTTTCCAAGCTGAGCCAGGCTGGCTGAGGAATTCTGGGAGTTGAAGTCCACCAGTCATGAAGGGGCCATAGTTCCCCCATGCTGGCTCAGGAATTCTGGGAGTTGAAGTCCACCAGTCATGAAGGGGCCATAGTTCCCACATGCTGGCTCAGGAATTCTGGGAGTTGAAGTCCACCAGTCATGAGGGGGCCAAGGTTGCCTACCCCTGTTCTAGCTCCTGGCCAGGGGTGGGCGTGGGATTAAACCAAGCAGTTGGCTGCCTTCGAGGGAAGCCTACGAGCCAGGAGTGGCTGCCCCGAGCCCCTCGCTGGTTTCGAGGCCGAGTCCCACCAGCAGCAGCCCCCGATGGCCCCCGGACACCCAGGCGGGGAATAAGGGCATCCCGAGGCCCTGGGGAGCTGGAGGCAGTCCCCAAATGGCACTCAGGCCCCCTTGCTTGGTGTTGGACGGTTGTGAATGAGTCTCCTTTTCATTTTCTGGTGCCTGAAACTAACCCCTGAGTGTGTGTGTGTGTGTGCGTTTTTCGGTCTTTTTCCTCCTCTGACTTCCATTCTGTGTAGCCCCTTTTCCTGGCCTGATTTAGCTCTGGGCCGTGCGGTGGGCTTCTCCCCTAGAAGCCCAGAAGACGCCTCCTGCCAGACCCTCTTGCTCTGCAGCTTCCCGCCCTGAGTGCCTCCAGCTGCTTCAGCGTTTCTCCCCCTCTCTCTCTTTGGGCCTGCGCATGGCTGGCCGAGGCCGCCCGTGGCTTGCTTCTGCTGCACCCCTCCTCGTGGCCTGTGACTTAACACCTCTCCCGTGGCTTGTGTGTGGGGAGCTGGGGAGCTTTCTTCCCCTGCAGAGCGCTCGTCCTCTCTCTTCCCTGCTCTTCTGGCGGGGCAGCGGCCCGGCCTGGCCTGGTAGTGACGGTCCTTCTCTCCGGTTAAGGTGGCCTCCAAGAAGAAGGAGCGCCGGTTCACGTCGGAAGAAGACGTGGCCGAGCAGGACACGGACAACGCCCGCTTCGCGGAGGAGGAGGTCAGCTGCTCTCTGAACATCACCGATGAAATGAAGAGGATGTTCAATCACTTGTGAGTCCCTCAGCGGGGGTCTCTGCCCAGGCTGCTCCCGTTAGGCTTTGCTTCCGGAAGCAGGGGGTCTCCGGCCCGATAAACGGGGGGGGGGGGCGTTTCCCGGGAAGCCCCAGACTGGCCCTGATCGGGGAGAGGCCATCTTGTTCCTCTTCCCAAGTCAAAGAGCGCTGAGGTTTTAAGGCAGTGTTTCTCAACCTTGACCATTTTAAGGCATGTGGACTTCAACTCCCAGAATTCCACAGCCAGCATCGCTGGCTGTGGAATTCTGGGAGTTGAAGTCCACATGCCTTAAAATGGTCAAGGTTGAGAAACACTGCTCTAAGGCCAGCTCAGTGTGCAGAGGGTGGGCTTTGGCCTTCCTGCAAGGGGGCAGAGTTGAGAAGCTTTGAGCAGCCTGGCCCAGTGGGGAAAAGGCCCCCCGGGCTCCCCCAGGCACCCCTCCACACACTCTTTGTCCTAAGGTTCAGGCTGCCCTCGGCTGCACAGCCTGGGCTGCTGGGAAGGCAGTTAGCTCAGAAGGCAGGCCTCTCTCCCAGAGAAAGTGAGGAGGGGGAGTGCATCCCTCTGTCTCAGGAGGGCTTCAGCGAGGGAGTGAGTGGGAGGAGGAAGAAAGGAATATAGAGGGGGAGGGAGGGAGAGGGGAGGGGGAAAGTAGAAGGAATAGACGGAGGGAGGGAGGGGGAAACTAGGAGAAGGAAGGAAGAAGGAATATCAAGGGGGAGGGAGGGAGGAGACAGGAAGGAGACGGAGGAAGGAAAAGGAAGGAAGGAGATGGAGGAAGGAAGGAAGGAGACGAAGGAAGGAAGGAGACAGGAAGGAAAAGGAAGGAAGGAGATGGAGGAAGGAAGGAAGGAGACAGGAAGGAAAGGAAGGAAGGAAGGAGATGGAGGAAGGAAGGTGATGAAGGGAGGAAGGAAGGAAGGAGATGGAGGAAGGAAGGAGATGGAGGAAGGAAGGAAGGAGATGGAGGAAGGAAGGAAGGAAGGAGATGGAGGAAGGAAGGTGATGAAGGGAGGAAGGAAGGAAGGAGATGGAGGAAGGAGACGAAGGAAGGAAGGAGATGGAGGAAGGAAGGAAGGAGATGGAGGAAGGAAGGAAGGAGACGGAGGAAGGAAGGAAAGAGACGAAGGAAGGAAGGAAGGAAGGAAGGAAGGAAGGAAGGAAGGAAGGAAGGAAGGAAGGCTAAAATAGCAAACCCAGACCAGGCACTGTTCCTTTGGGCTGTTGGGGGGGGGAGACGGACAGGCTGCCCATTGATTCAGGCACACGGGAGCCGAGAAGGCAGGACGGTTGCTTAGCGCAGAGCGCCCCCTGGAGGGCTACGTTCTTGAAGCAGGGCTGGCCTGTGGAGCGACGGAAGGCGAGAGGGGCGGGAGGGAGGGAGGGAGGCTGGGAAAGCGCTCGGCCCAACGGGCCCCGTCTCCGCTAGGGCTGGCCGGTCCTCGGGGCTTCCTCTGAAGCCGGAAAACCAAACGTAAGGTCTTGTCTCTCCAAGCAGGCGGGAGACCTTTGACTTTGATGACGACTGTGACAGCTTGACTTGGGAGGAAAACGAGGACACTCTGCTCCTGTGGGAGGACTTTACCAACTGCAACCCCACCGTGGAGCTCCCAGGAGAGGTGAGGGGGGGGGCAGCTCACGTCTCTCCCCCCCCCCCCATGACAGCGTCCGCCTTCCAAGCCCTGGACTCGACTCAGCCGCTCTTATGCAGGGCCCACTTTCCGTGGATGAACTGCTATTAATAGCAGCAGTAGTAGCCCTTAGAGCAGTGGTTCCCAAACTTTTTAATGCCGCGACCCCCCCCCCCAACCGGTCGTAAGTCGAGGACTACTCAACCGGTCGTAAGTCGAGGACTACTCAACGGGTGCAGCACCGTTTGCAGAATGGGACTTTTGGCGGGCTCAGCAGGGCAGAGACAGCCTGGACAATCCCTATTGGCTTTGGAAAGCCAATAGAATTAGACTCTATTCAAGAGAGTCTATTCTATTGGCTTTCAAAAGCCAATAGAATAAAAGGGAGTAGCACAGCTAAGGAAAAGGGGGGGGAAATGGCGGACTGCGTTGTTTGGCGACCCCCATGAAATGGTCATTTGACCCCAAATGGGGTCCCGACCCACAGGTGGAGAACCGCTGCCTTAGACTTATATCCCGCTTCACAGCACTTCACAGCCCTCTCTAAGCGGTTTACAGAGTCAGCCTGTTGACCCCCCCCCCAACAATCTGGGTCCTCATTTTATCCACCTCAGGAGGACGAGTCAACCCTGAGCCGGTGAGAATCGAACTGCCAAACTGCTGGCCGCCGGCAGTCAGCAGAATCCGCCTCCAGTGCTGCACTCTAACCACTGCGCCCACCACAGCTCAGTCCATCGGGTCAAATGTTTCAATATTAGCCTCACTTCACCCGCAGGCCCAGGGCCCGCTTTCATTTTAGTTCTGCTTCCTTAGCTAACTGTTCAGTCCTAAGTCGGTGCCAAACCAAACTCACAACGGCTTCGGCGACCTTTCAGAAACCGTTGGGCTTCATTATATCTCAAGGTATAGTGATGTTCAGAGAGAGCCTGGCCAGGCTTGGTGCTTGTCATCCCCCCCCCCCCTCAGAAGGGCTGGCCGTTCAGGTTTTGTGCAGGCTTGGATAAGATTAAGATAAGAGTTAAGATAAAAGATAAGACTGAGAAGGAAGGACTCACTGGAGAAGAGCCTAATGCTGGGAAAGACGGAGGGCAAGAGAAGAAGGGGACGACAGAGAATGAGATGGCTAGATGGAGTCACTGAAGCAGTAGGTGTGAATTTGAATGGACTCCAGAAGATGGTAGAGGATAGGAAGGCCTGGAGGAACGTTGTCCATGGGGTCGCAATGGGTCGGACACGACTTCGCAATTAACAACAACAACAAAAGATAAGACATAAGATATAAGATAAAAGATGATAAGATAACCTTTATTGTGGGGGTCTTCAAACTTGGCCCTTTGATGACTTGTGGACTTCAACTCCCAGAATTGAAGTCCACAAGTCATCAAAGGGCCAAGTTTGAAGACCCCTGCTTTATTGTCATTTTTTTTACTGTGGGCACAGGGCACACATTAAAAATGAAATTCTGCTGCCTGCTCTCAAGGGTACACATCCACAACGCACATATAAACACGCTATATACATCCACGTGCATACACCTACACCCTTACCTATAAATCCCTAACATCCACAACGCACATATAAACCCGCTACATACATACACGTGCATACACCTATACCCTTACCTATAAATCCCTATAAATAATCCCTGTCCACCTTGAATATAGAAAGGAGCCCCCAGAGGCAGCAGAGGAGTGGGACCTGGGCAGGCCGCGACCCCAGGGAGTGGCCTGCCCCCCCCCGCCTCTCCTAAGGCTGCCCCTCGGTGTGTCTTTTTCAGCAAGAGGAGAACTTGGGCAACTTAATCCACGAGACGGAATCTTTCTTCAAAACCCGAGACAAAGAATATCAAGAAACGATAGGACAGATCGAGGTAAAGGGAAGCGATGAACTGGCCTGGGAGAGGCAGGGAAGGAAGGAGAGCCGTTCTCCACCCTCCCGGGCGTTCTCCGCTGCAGGGGGGTGGGAGTGAAACCAAGGGGTGTCCCTCGGCTGCAAAAAAAACCCGCTGTGCGGTGTGTCGCAGGCGCACCAAAACGGGCGAAGGACCTAGTCGCTGTCTTCCGAAGGGACGCTCTTTGTCCACAGCCCAAGTCCCCTGAGGTTGCTGGGGCCCGAGGGCTGTTCGGCAAAGGCCCTCACGGAGGGCAGGGGGTTAACCGCCTGTCCTTCTCCCTCCCCCCCATCCACAGCTGGAACTGGCCACCGCGAAGAGCGACATGAACCGTCACCTCCACGAGTACATGGAGATGTGCAGCATGAAGCGAGGCCTGGACGTCCAGATGGAGACCTGTCGGCGGCTGATCAAAGGCTCCGCGGAAAGGTGGGGCAGGAGGAGGGGGCATCCAGACCCCCGGCGGGAGTGGGAAAGCAGCAGGAAGAGGCTGATCTCCAGTTTTCCGCAGAGGGTGTTTTAATAATAATAATAATAATAATAATAATAATAATAATAATAATAAGTGCCTTGGGTGCAATCCCAAAACAACTGGAGCACCACTTGAACACCATCATTGGCATTGACAAATTCGCTATTAGTCAATTGCAAAAGGCGGCCTTACTAGGAACTGCTTCCATCCTGCGACGAGATCTGTCATACCATCAAACATCCACATCTGCCTATCCCAGGTCCTGGGTAAGGACTCGATAGGTAGACAAAATGCCAAATCCAGTCTGAACATCTGGCTGACTGTGCGATGATCAATAATAATAATAATATAATAATAATAATAAAGTTGGAAGGGACCTTGGAGATCATCTAGTCCAACCCCCTGCTCAGACAGGAAACCCTATATCAGACAAATGGCTGTCCAGTCTCTTCTTAAAAACTTCCAGTGTTGGAGCATTCACCACTTCTGGAGGCAGGTTGTTCCACTGGTTAATTCTTCTAACTGTCAGGAAGTTTCTCCTTAGTTCCAGGTTGCTCCTCTCCTTGATTATTTTAATTTATTTACTTACTTATTTACTTACTTGTTTGCTTGTTTATTTTGCGGGTCGAGGTTTGACATCTGATACCGCCTTGTCTTTCCTCCCTCCTCCAGGAATTCCCCCTCGCCCAGCTCGCTCGCCAGCAGCGACTCAGGAAACACGGACGAGATTCAGGATGACTTTGACCGAGAAGCCGACGTCGAGCCGATGGTCAGCTGATGAACGCCCGGAGCGTGGGGCACGGAGGAGGGATGGGTGGGGTGCGGGACGGGAAAGAACAGAAAAACTTCCACAAAACCTGGGGAAAAGTCGAAAACTTGGCAGCGTGAGGGATCCAGGACTTCAGCGTCCTCAGCCGGCGTTCCCGGAGGGCCCGGCCCTCCCACGTCATCTCAGGATTGGTGCTGTAAAAAAACAACAACAACAAAAACTTTTGTACTGTTCCGTCAACAACAAATGTGACAAAAACTGCAGTTCTACCTGTGCCTTCGCCCCAGGCTGGGCCCAACCGTGTTCCTGCGTGGGCACGTCCACCTGCTTCGGACGGAAGGCCAGCTCCTGGTGATGGGCGCCTCTGCCGCGAGAAGGGGGGGGAGGTGGACTTAAGAGGCTTCAGACCGACGTCCTTCTTTGGCGGCCCGCCCGGGGTGGCCGATCCAGGGAGAGCCTGGGAGGGTAAGGCCGCGGCAGGGCAAAGCCAGAAGGACCACAGGGTGGGGAAGGTCGCAGTTTTTAACTACTATGCAAAAAAAAAAAAATCACAAAACAAAAAAAAGCAAAGTGCTTTGCTTGCCTTATTCCCGCGGCACATTTGGGCCTCTGCCGTGCTGGGATTTCTCTCCCGAGCGCATGACGGTTCGGTACCCTTGACCCGGCCTGGGGTTCTGTCTGGTTCTGCTTTCTGAAGGTCTGTCTGCCGCCTTGGCCTGGCTGGAGGGCTGTGTGGTTGTTGTACTTTGTCTGCTGCTTCCCCGAGCGCCGGGCGTTGTGTTTCTGGGCTCCGGGGCTTCGAGAGATGAGGGAAGCCATGGGGGTGCCCAGGCAGGCGTCAGCTGCCTGGCACCCGAAATGCCCTCTTGTGTTTACGTTCCGTTGACGCTAAGTATTCTCTGGGGACGAGGGGTGTGTCTGTGCCATTCAGGAGAGGTTGGCTCATCACACAAACACGCAACTGAAAAGGGAAACGACCCTTTTTTTTTCCCTTTCCTTCTTCCGCTGCCCACGTTTTGTGGTGGCACCGTGTGTATCCGACTGGCTGGCCAATTAATTGCTTGGCGTCCGTGGGCGGGCTGGCGTTTGATGTGAACGTGGCAGGATGAGGGTCAGTTAGGAGACCCCCCCCCCCATCCACACCTGAGGCCAGCTGGAAGCCCCCCTCCCTTCTGCCCTTGTTCTGTGCTGTGAAACGTCTCCAAGGAGGTGCGTGCTTTGTGTCCTGCGCAAACAGCCACTGTGTCTAGAGGGAGCCCTTTGGTGATGGGCTGCTTAGGGCACTTTCTTCCCCACAACCCCAGTGAGTTTTTGGTGTGTGTGTGTGTGGGGGGGTGTTGATTCTTCTTCCAAAGTGCTTTTCCTTTGCTATATTTTTTTTCCTAGCCAAAATTGCACCCTTTTCTTTCCTTAAAAAAAAACACACCTCTCACGCTGCTATTATTACTTTTTTGTTGTTGTTAAGAGTCGATACACGGTACTTTCATAAAAATGTTGCCTTGAGGTCACTGAGCCGGAGTGTAATTTGGGCTGCTTTAATTGGTGGTTTTTGCGGAAGACCGAGCCATGCGCCTCTCCACCTCGGCTTCGCCCTTGAACATCTGTCGGATTTCACAGTTGTTTAGCGGCCTGGCTGTTGAGAATACGCTCTTCCATCACCGCAGAAATTGGGTGCCTCGCGGATTCCCCCGTTTCCTTGTGCTCGATGTGCCTGTTATTGTTTTACTTCTGAACGCACAAGCAGGGTGTGGTGTGTAAGCTTTTTAACGGACGGCATGTGAATGCAGGTTGGTAGGAGGTGGGCACGGTCCCCACTGGGGGGGGTGGTACCTGGGTGAAGGACTGTCGCCTGGCGTTGGGGGCGCGAGGGCAGTTCTTTGAGCTGGAACAAGGTGATCCTGGAACCCCTATCCACAGGGGGTGCCCAAAAGTTAAGATGGCAGGTGTGCAATCCAATCCCCACTCCCCTTTTACCTGCACAGGGTGGAGAACGTGCCCAGCCTCCATCTTGGCTTTTTTTGCCTGGGCAACTTGTCACAGAGAAGACGTGGTGGCTATTTTTGTAGGTGTCGAAGGGAAGCGGGGGAAAAATTTCCTGAGACAATAAAAGTTGTGATGCTATGGGATCGCGCGGGTCAAAGGTGTGGTCACCGATATTGTACGCAGGCTTTAAGATTTATGTTCCCACTGCATGGAACTTGGGGAGGCTTGCCCCACACGTGAGCGATTCAAGGGTCAACAGAGCGGTGTGTAATTGTGGTCAGGAGTACCCAGCATGGCTTCGCGTCAGCATTGATGGTGTTGGCACAATGGGCAGGCAGGGTGTGTGTGTGTTGAGGGTCCTGTGATTTAAAGTGCACCAGGAAAAGGAAAATAATATTGGTGGGGCTGCGGGACATACGTTCAATTACTTCCTTTCTCCCCCCCCCCTTCTGTAAGGCTGTAAATACTTTGTTTTGTGTTCATAAGACCGTGTCCCAGCGACACTTTTAAGAAGACTTACCAATCTTGTTTCCTCGTGGGTTTTTAAAAGGCGGGGTGGGGGTGGAAGCTAACAGTTTTCCGTTGCTTGTTAGCAGGGTGATGGCGGTCTGTCCAATTCCTAAGCAAACTGGGTTTTGTACAACATTTGGGAAGAAGCTGTTGCCTACTTTGTTGAATGCATGTTGTTTAAAAGGAGGGGGGGGCAGAGAGAATAAAATGTCCAAAGAAACCATGTCTTGTTCCCAGGGTTGTGTAATTTAATTTTAGCTCAAGCCATGATGAGGACGCTGTCCTGTTTCTGAAATTTAAGCCTGTGATGTTCTCTGAGATCAGGCATATATTCCTTAAAATCAGTAAATCACACCTTTGTTATCGCACAGCATGCGAGGGAAATGATTTGGGAAGCAGGGGCTCCGTCCTTCCCTCCTGGATCCGGGGTGTCCCCACAAGTCCAGCGGTCCAGGGGGAAATTATTCAAAGCCAATTCAACCTTTGTCTCCACTGGAGGTTGTGTTAACGGCAGGGTTGGGTCCGAATCTACTTTAAGCTGGAGTAAGTCGAACATTTGCAGAGCTGCTTAAGACCAAAATGGTGTTTTATCATTTTAAAACGGGGGGGGGGGTAGGTTTTTCTTCCTGCCGCAGCGTTCTTATTTGGAGCAATGTGTACTGTCCGCGTTTGGGGTGCATGTGAAGGAATGAGGGGGGGGGCGAGAAGGACGATTCCGAGCAATATTTTGTCACCCCAAACCTTATTCCACTTTTCTCGAGGTCGCCCGAGCCTTTGATACAAAAGCCGACTGTGTTTGGGATGGAAATGTTTACTGTGTTGTACATATTGTGCTTTATATTCTGTATATCAGCCTGTTTTCACGGGGGGGGGCTTGGATTCCACATATTTGTGCACTTGCCAGGAGAAACCCATTGTTAAGCTTGCTCCAAAGAGGTTGTGGGTGTCGTTTCCCCCCCTTTCCGTTCCACCTTAACATTTTGGATCGGGCACTGAGAATTGGTGGCTTCAGACCCTCCCCAGGGGGTGGTTTCCACACACCCTGTCCCCCCACCCCCGTGCCAAACCTTCCATACACATTGAGCCAGCCTGTCCCTTACCTTTTCCCCCAACATTGTGTGACACACACCCACACCCTTTTGCACCTTGGGGTCATTGCCCCATGTTGCCCTCTTGGAGACAGCACGTAGTCTGTGGTGGTTGGACCCTCCTTTGAACACCCCCTCCCCTCCCCCTCTGCCCTCCCCCCCCCGATTCTCCCTTAGGAAGGGTGGTGGGTCTATCTCCGGTCCCCCTTTCGTATGACAATGTACCAAAGGGGTTTCTCTGTGAATCAGGGACCTTCTTGGGGGGGGGGCGGGTAGGGGGGGAAACGGGGTACGGTCGTTCTTGGTTTCAGAGGAAGAAAAACCCCTGACAATAAATGCCAAATTTTCTGGTTACTAAAGTTTTGTGTGGGTCTCTTTTTCTTTCACCCAAACTTCCCTCCCTGCTCCTGGGTGCCAGTCTTCCCCCCATGGGCACCGCCCAATCCTTACCCCGTGCTCCCAGGAGGCCTCGTGTTGCCCCAAATGCCACCCACTCAGGAAGAGTCCTCCCCATAGTCCCCCCTCCCCACGGCCAATCAAGGTGAGCCCAGAAGACACAGCATCCTTGCAGGGTAGGACAGCCTGTGCCAAGCAGGCACCAGCTGGCTTTTATTCCAGCCCTGTAGTTGGGCTTTGACGGTGCCCAAGATGGGCTGCCTCTGGGTAATCTACCCGCACGCGCCCCCTGCGAGGTAGACTGGCCTGAATTGGGACACACACACTCACATCACATCACATCAGTGGCATCCCCCTTCCCAAGTTGCAATCGCCGCCTCCTTGGGGCAACGGCCCTAGGTTTGGAGCGGGGACGCTGCGCCTGGTTCCCACCGTGAGAGTGATGGGAGTTGTAGTCCTGCGTCCCCCGCTCCCTCCCTCCCCCGTGCCCCACTCAATTGAGCAACTTTTCCAGGGGGGAGGAGTAGGGCCAGCGCGGCTCCCGATTGGTGCTCCAGGGGGCGCCTTCGGATTGGTCGCCCTGCTTCCCGCCCCTTTCCCTGGGCGGGTGAGGGGCTCGTCCATTCGTGGCGCCCGAGAGGGGTGTTCCCTTGCCCCGAAAGGCCCTTTCTACAGCTTCGGAGCCACTTCCGAAAGTTTACAGAAATATATGTGTGTGTGTGTGTGTGTGTGTGTGTGTGTATGTGTATATATATATATATAAAAAACAGGGTAATCGCGTCCTTCTTGCGGAGGGAGCGACAAAGCGCGTCTTCGGCCAAGGGGAAAAGAAAAAAGACCGGGTCCCCCCCTTTTCTCGCCCGAGGAATGGTTCGGCCCAATCGGCGGCACGCGCCGCCCGGCATAGCTGCCGCCCGTCTCTTCCCTCAGGATCGGGCGCGAGGAGGAGGAGGAGGATGGCGCTGCCTCTGCTCCGCCGGCCGGGCTCCCTGCGCGGGCTGAGGTGAGTCTCTCTCTCGCTCGCTCTTGGGGGGGCCTTCCCCGGGGACTCCCACCCCCATCCTCCCCGGCGCTTCGGGGGGGGCTCCCGCCGCCTGGGAGGATGGGGGGAGGGGAGGGGGGGGTCCCTCCTAAGGGAGGGGGGCATTGCCCTCATTGGGCCTCTTGAGGGAGGGGAGGGAAGCCCCCCCCCAACAAGGGGCGCCTCAGGGATGGGCTTCACCCCCCATTCCCTCCCCCTCCCCCATATTGGAAAATAATTCATAATAATAAGTTTTAAGAAATAAACCCCCCCCCCCGTTGGACGTCTCCTCAGGCCACCATCATTTTATGCTGCTGCTCTTCGGATTATTCTAGTGATTAGGCTTGGGCCATGCTCACTGCCCTTGGTGCATTCATGTCACTGCTGGGGATCATGAATAAGAACAAAATAATAGCAATAATAGTAATAATAATAGCACTTGGACTTTATATACCGCTTTGCAGCCCTCTCTGAGCGGTTTATAGAGTCAGCCTGTTGAACCCCCCCCAACAATCTGGGTCCTGGTTTTACCCACCTCAGAAAGATGGAAGGCTGAGTCGACCAATAATAATAATAATAATAATAATCATCATCATCATTATCCTCATCATTCCAGGTCCTGGGTAAGGACTCGATAGGTAGATAAATTGCCAAATCCAGTCTGAACATCTGGCTGACTGTGCAATGATCCCTAACAATAATAATTGTCACCCAAATAATAATTGTCACCCAGACTTAGCAATTATTGATAACAAAAACAAAAAAGTCTGGATAGTGGCAGTGCCTGGAGAAAGAACTGGAGAAGATAACAAAATACAAAGACCTACAAATAGAAATAGAAAGACTGTGGCAAAAGCAAGCAAGGGTAGTACCAATAGTAATAGGCTCCTTGGGTGCAATCCCAAAACAACTGGAGCATCACTTGAACACCATCATCGTCATTGACAAATTCGCTATTAGTCAATTGCAAAAGGCGGCCTTACTAGGAACTGCTTCCATCCTGCGACGAGATCTGTAATACCATCAAACATCCACATCTGCCTATCCCAGGTCCTGGGTAAGGACTCGATAGGTAGACAAAATGCCAAATCCAGTCTGAACATCTGGCTGACTGTGATGATACATCATCATCATCATCATAACATGCATTTTCTTCCAATAATAATATGAATATGCATTTTCTTCCTTTCAGCCTCTATTTGCTATTTTCCTTATCTTCCTCCTAAGGCAGGGGTTCCCAGCCGGGGGTGCAAGACAATATTCCAGGGGGTGCTCAAACTTGCATTTAGAAATTTCAAAATTATAGTGTATATGCATCATTTGTTGCCGTTATTTCAAACTTTTGCAAGGGGTGCAAGAATATATCAGAAGCGTTCTAGGGGTGCTGGGTACAAAAAAGGTTGGGAACCACTGGCCTAAGGGAACCTGGCAGGTGTGCCATCTGGATCAGCTGATCTGTCAAGCTTTTAAGGTTTCAGCCATTACTGTTGTCGTATAAATCAAATATAAGTAAACACTAATATGCACATGTGTATACACATACACACACACGCTATAGAGCTAGTCCTTGACCACAATGGAGCCCAAAATTTCCGTTGCTAACGGAGGAAATTTGCTAAGTGAGTTTTACCCCACTTTACGTCCTTTCGTGCCACAGTTGTTAAGTGAATCTGGCTTCCCCATTGACTTTGTCACAAGGTCGCAAAAGGGGATCACATGACCTCAGGACAGGGCAACCGTCGTAAATATAAACCAAGCGTCCGAATTTTGGATCATGCTGCAATGATTGTAAGTATGAAAAACGGTCCTAGGTCACTTTTTACGGTGCCACTGTAACTTCAGACGGTCACTAAATGAACTATTGTAAGTTGAGGGCTACCTATGCGTAGGCATAGACATATTGGGGAGGGGGATAAGACTCTTTTTCCTGGGTTACCCAGAAAACCTTTGGGATCCCTGTCCCCCAGTGTCAAGTTCAGCTCCTTGGGGGGGGGACACTTTTTTTTCCTTTCCTGTTTACGTTTTTTTAATTTTGCTTCTAGCCTGGGGCTTAAGAAAAGGACAGGTTTGTTGTGGTGATGAAATATTCTCGTAGGCTAGTGGAAATTTTGTTTTCTGTTTTTTAGTTTTTTTTGCTTGGTGAGTAGGAATAGATCCGACAGGGCTGGAAGATCAAACCGGCCTTCCGGTTTCCATCCTCAGCGTAAATTCCAATTTAAAAACAACGGCCTTCGCTGTCGGAATTGGCCTTTTCGGGCTACTTGGGTGCAGGAAGAATTACAACTTAAAAGACCCCAGGAAAGCAATAAAATGCAGAACCCAAATAAAAGTGATCAGAAGTCATGCAGCTAGTCCTCAACTTAACAAACCATTCGTTTAGTGGCGATGCAAAGTCCCAGTGGCACCGGCAAAAAAGTGACTTATGACCAGTTTTCACACTTAACGATCATCATAGTGTCCCCGTATTTACGGGATCAAAATTTGGATGCTTGGCAACTGGTTTGTATATATGACAGTTGCCACCTTCCAGGGGTCCCGGGATCCGATCCCCTTTTGTGACCCTCCCCGCTGGCTTCTAACGAGCAAAATCAGTACAGGAAGCCAGATTCACTTAATGGAGCATGATTCACTTAACAACTGTAGTGAATTGCTTAACTGTGGCCAAAAAAAACAAAACAACAACAGGAAAATCATGCATAGCTGCCTTCACTGCCACCTTGTTTAGCAATGGAAATTCTGGTCCCAGTTGAGGCCTACCTGTAAATTCCTAAATTGTTTGGTTAAGAAAGCCCCAATTCAGTGGAAAGCTTTAAATTTGGGGCCCAGAAGTTTCAGTCTCCTATCATTCCCCCCCCTCCCCCATTTCAGGTTTACCTCTGAATGCCTCTTTTTTTTAATCTACATACACTTTCCTTTCTGGTCCTTATCACAATGAGGAGGGCTTTGGCCTTATCAGCCTTGCCTGAGATAAAGCAAAGCTGGGACCAAAGAAACTGAACACCTGTCCTTGTTTGTTCAGGTCTTTTGCTTTCAACTTGTGCCCAGGGCCTTCAAAATCAAGGTTGTGCCTCAAAACCCTGCTGAGGCAGGAAAAATCAGACTTTTGCCCCTGGGTGCAAAAGTCCAGCTCCTCAAGCATTCATTTTGCTGACCACCTATTCCTGTCTGGAATTTGGAAAGCAAAAAGGAGTTGGAGAGGAAAGCTTTTGAAAGAACAGTGCCTTCTCAGAAAGTCTCCTTTTGGAGTCGACACTCCCCGTGTTTTCATAGCGTGTGTCAACTGTCAGTTTTTTAAAAATATTATGAATTAGGCTCGGATTGGGGAAAACCTGCTTCACATCGAACTTACAAAGGGATTTTCAGCAGATTAACTGTTTTTGCGCAGTCTCGAGTCCCAAGGGGAAAAGCCACATTTTAAACTTCAGTTAACCACATTTTATTTACAAGGTTTAAACTCCCATTTCAGACGGGAAATTAAGTTCCTGGCAGTAACATGCCCCTGTCCTCAGACTGACCATGTAAGAAGCATGACACACAAGGAAAAGGAAATGGGGAGGGAAGTGGAACTTAGCAGTCATTGGGGGAAGACCTAGGTAGTAGGTCTGGTTATTTATAGCTTAGGAAGGTGATGAAGCCTCTCAAAAAGTAATAGGAGCATACAGCTTATATACCACTGCCTGCAACGCTGTATCAATACCCGTAAGGGAATCTTTCTATTTTATTTTATTTTATTTTAATGCCTGTCTTGTTAAAAAAAAACCTGTGTTGCAAAATATATAAGAGAAAGCCTCTTAATTTTGCACTCCCTAAAACAAATAATGCAAGGTTCAAGTTTTAAACTTCCCTCTCCTTTTTTTTTTTTTTTTCCAGTTCTGGTTTAATCCTTTCTCAGGGGTTTGTTAATGCCCTTGTTTGTCGGCATTTCTCTCTTTCTCCTAGAACAGTGTTTCTCAACCTTGACCATTTTAAGGCATGTGGACTTCAACTCCCAGAATTCCACAGCCAGCATTGCTGGCTGTGGAATTCTGGGAGTTGAAGTCCACATGCCTTAAAATGGTCAAGGTTGAGAAACACTGTCCTGGAATGTCACAGCCCTATACGTGGCTTTCCCCATTCGCCTTCCTTCTTTTAACGGCGCGGCCCTCTTTGGAGCTGAAGAAATAAAGCTTTAGTCCATCAAGCCTGGAGATTTCTCCGGGATCCCTCGTGATTGTCACGTAAAGTGAAATAATGTCTGCTTTTTTCTTTCTTTCCCCATCCTCCCAGCCTGCGATGGCAACACCATGCCTCTGCAAAGGTGGTCAACGAACCCGTTTTGGCCTACAAACCTGGGAGCCCTGAGCGAGCCACCCTCCAGCAGGTAACAATGCCCTCTTTGTGGCCTAGTAACGAGAGCATCCAGTCAAGGGACAGCGAACACATGAAACTGGAGACCGCTTGATTTCCAAGCTCTGTTGCAGCCTTTAGTTGCAGGGCCTGCTTGCTTGGGTATAGAAGCAAGGCTGCACTTTGATTGGCATCAATCAGCAAAAGGCAGGGACTGCACGGGTGGCTGCAGTTTAGTGGCTCTGCCTTGCTTGTAACAGGCAGGTAAAGATTCCAAGACTGAGGGTTTGGAGAAAATAGGATTTGGTGAGAAATTTGAAGCGAGGAAGAAAGACAGTAGCCATTTCAGATGTTAAGGATTGCAAGGAAGGAAGGAAGCAGGCTTTTGGTTGTGGAGAACAACAAAACACAACACTGGGGAATGAAAAGAGGGAGCACAAGGAGGTCCCCAGAAGAGGCAACGTGTGTGAGCAGCACAAGGATCAGAGAAAGAATTTGTGGTGATCTGGAGAGCAGAACAGATGAGCTAGCCTGTTTACAGAATTGTTGCTTCCTTCTCTAGGCTCTAAATGACATGAGGGGCAAGACCGAAGAGATCCCGTGTGTCGTTGGGGGGGAGAAAGTCTGGACAGCCGACGTGAGGTATCAAGTGTCGGTGAGTTCCGCCAGCAAGGGCCTGCTTCATTGGTAGTCTGATGTAACAGCTGTGTTAAAATTCCCCCTTCTTTCCCCAAACAGTTTTAGTTGTAAAAAGAGCATATTTCATCCATGTTTGACCAAAGGCCTTAAAAGTCTCTGTTTGGTGGTAACCAGTACTGGCGAGAAGTATTTTACTCAATGCGTTTCTTTTTGGTGAATCTATCACAGTTGGAATGTTTACTTTAAAATGATCAGATGCATTTCTGTTGGAATATTCATGAACAGGAAGAGCCATGTGGTAACTCAGTCAGCCAATGTGAAGAAAGTGCTACTGAGTCTGTGCAAAAAAGAGTATTGCGTTAGGAGCTGGATTTCCAGTCTCAAGTTTTTGTCTCTGGTCTGTCTCTGTAAGAAGCCTTCATTAAGCTATGTTGCTGTAAAGAAGAATGGTATTGTAAATATTTTTATATAAATATAAAGTTATTTTGAATCAGCTAAATGCAGTCAACTGTGAGAGCTTCTGATTTATTTTTCACCAATAGAGAAATTAAAATTCTCTAACAATTTCTGTTTGAAACAAGCACAGGTGTTTTTTTATTATTATTATTATTATTATCGATCATCGCACAGTCAGCCAGATGTTCAGACTGGATTTGGCATTTTGTCTACCTATCGAGTCCTTACCCAGGACCTGGGATAGGCAGATGTGGATGTTTGATGGTATTACAGATATCGTCGCAGGATGGAAGCAGTTCCTAATAAGGCCGCCTTTTGCAATTGACTAATAGCGAATTTGTCAGTGCCAATGGTGTTCAAGTGGTGCTCCAGTTGTTTTGGGATTGCACCCAAGGAGCCTATGACTATTGGTACTACCCTTGCTTGCTTTTGCCACAGTCTTTCTATTTCTATTTGTAGGTCTTTGTATTTTGTTATCTTCTCCATTTCTTTCTCTTCTATTCTGCTATCTCCAGGCACTGCCACTATTATTATTATTATTATTATTATTATTATTATTATTATTATTCTACTCGGAGAAATTGCTGGTCAGAATTGTCACATTTTTCTTCCTCTCTCCCTCCTGTTTTTTTCAGCCTTTTAAACATTTACACAAAGTGGCCAAATACTGCTACGCTGATAAGGTGAGCAACGCACCCTACAGTAAGACTTTTTTGGAATGTTCCAGGTAGGACTCAGATGGAGGCTGTGTTTGTAAGCACATTTTATGATGATCTTGTAAGCTCCAGAGAGCCATCTACGAAGGAGGATGTCCTTCGTTTGTCTGAATGACTTACTGTCCTGTCCCTGACTCCAGGCATTCAGCCTCTCTCTGTTTCTGCCTTTGAGATTAATGCCTTCCCTCATTCCCAATGCAGCAGAATGTAACCCTCCTTTCCTGGCCAAATTACTTTTCCATGCCCACAACACAACCTGTACACAGCCTATAGAGCAGTGGTTCTCAACCTTTTTAATGCCGCGACCCCCAACCGGTCGTAAGTCGAGGACTACTCAACCGGTCGTAAGTCGACTACTCAACTGGTGCAGCACCGTTTGCAGAAGGGGACTTTTGGCGGGCTCAGCAGGGCAGAGACAGCCTGGACAATTCCTATTGGCTTTTGAAAGCCAATAGAATTAGACTCCATTCAAGAAAGTCTATTCTATTGGCTTTCAAAAGCCAACAGAATAAAAGGGAGTAGCACAGCTAAGGAAAAGGGGGGAAAAAATGGCAGACTGCGTTGTTTGGCGACCCCCGTGAAATGGTCGTTCGACCCCAAATGGGGTCCCGACCCACAGGTGGAGAACCACTGCTATAGATAAAGGAATGCCAGCGAAGGCAGAGTTATACAAAAATGCAAACTCAAACCTGGTTAACAAAAATTTTTGATCACCTCTGGCCATCCTTGGTGAATAATTGGGTTATTTAAAAAAAAGACAGAGGAAACGGATAGCCCTTGACGGAAGGAGCTGCTAAGGATTAATCCGTTTTTAAAGCCAACCAAGATACTGGCCATCACATGGCAGTGAGTCCCACATTTTCACGATGGTTGTAGCATTAAAAAAAAAAAAACTTGTGAAAGTGTGTCTGCGGGAGGGGTGTCTTCTATGCCAGTGTTTCCCAAACTTGACAATTTTAAGGCATGAGGACTTCAACTGTCAGAATTCCACAGCCAGCAATGCTGGCTGTGGAATTCTGGGAGTTGAAGTCCACATGCCTTAAAATTGTCAAGTTTGGGAAACACTGTTCTATGCCAACCTTTTGGGCAACAGGGACCGGTGCCATGGAAAAAGTTTTTTTCCACGGACCAGAAGGGGTGTGGTTTTGTGTACTGCTTGCATCCCATGGATGGGGCTTTTTGTTTGTTCGTGCGGCCCGGTTGCTGGCATGCTATGGACCGGTGCCGATCCACGGACCAGGGATTGGGGACCCCTGTTCTATGCTGTGCTTCATTCCACCAACCTCTCATCCCCCCCCCCACCCACCTGGTCAGTTCATAAATAAATACAAATGAATCCCCTCAAATGTGGGCCATTTTCTGCCCATTTAGGACTTGTTGAATAAGGCCATTATCTCTGCGTTGGGTGCCCGGAAGGACTGGGATCTCCGGCCCATCCAGGACCGCGCGAAGGTCTTCTTCAAAGCTGCCGACATCCTGAGCGGGCCCAGAAGGGCAGAGATCTTAGCCAAGACCATGGTCGGCCAGGTAGGTGGGTGCACAGCTGGCTCGGATCACAGCTGGCTCACACGGCCCTGCTCAAGGACAGATGCTCCACGGCTGGGAAGGAAACAAGCACGTGGAGGGGGCCCAGACTAAATGAAGGAATACGTAGCGGTTGTCTTAGAGGGGGCCAAAAGGGAAGCTCCTTTGGGTGGGATTTGGCTTGGGGGCCGTCAGTTGCTAACCCCGGGCGTTGCTAGCTTTGTCCAAAGTCTTCTCTGCCCCCCCCCCACCACCACCATGCAAATCTTCTGCAATCTTGCCCTGATATGCTTCTTTTACCCCCTCTTTATCTCCAGGCTAAAACGGTCATCCAAGCAGAAATCGATGCGGCCGCCGAGCTGGCGGACTTTTTCCGCTTCAACGCCAAATACGCCCTGGAGTTGGAGGGGGAGCAGCCCATCAGCGCCCCCCCCAGCACCAACAGCCTGGTGTATCGGGGGCTGGAGGTAGGGTTGACGACGCTGAAGCTTCAGTCCTGGTTTTGCAGGATCTGGGGCCGGTAAGGGGGGGGGGGCTGTGAAGGCAGCTCCAGAGAATTTGGGGAGGGGGGTGTCTTTGCTTCTCCACTGTGCTGCTGAGGGCTGTCCAGTCACCTTACCCAAGCAGGGGGAGACAACACCTGCCTTACATGGTTGCGTTGAAAGCGTTTGCACCCCCTCCTCCTTTTCCGCAGCCCCCAGCCACTGGGCTCTTGCACAGATTGTAAAAATTGGTTATTTATGAATCATACACGCAGCAGACTTCATTTTCGTTTCTCCTGATAGTGAGGGGAGAAGCTGAAAGTTAAAACAAGCATGAGGTTATTTCCCCCCCCCCCTTAGCAGATAGCAAAATAGAAATTATCCATTTCCCACCATCTCCACACTGCCCACCTTTTCCCTTTTCGCACACTTTTTCCAGCATGAGGACTGGAATCTTGAAATGGGGAAGCCGTGCCTAAGGTCACGTTCCCTCAGACTAGCCGCAGTCTGTCAAGAGGTTGGGGCTTGCGAGGTGCATCTCTTATCCTGCCCCCCCCTTCTAAAGCTGTCTGGGGGGGCTCACCTTTCCCTGTCCCTCGCCTCTTCCGCAGGGCTTTGTGGCTGCGATCTCCCCCTTCAACTTCACCGCCATCGGAGGAAACTTAGCAGGAGCCCCAGCACTGATGGTGAGTTTGGTGCATCCATTCCGTTCCTTCAAGTCTTCAGCCTTTGCAAATAGCCCCCCCCTCCAAGTCTTTTTCCTGTTTCTGGGGTGCACCCAAACACAAAACGTTCTCTGCTTCTTCCTCACCAGCTGAGGTGCTTTTGAGGATGCAAAAATTCCTTTTGCACCCTTGAGGACTAGAACCTTCCTTAGGCTGCATCTAGAGGGCTCTTTCTCTCTCTCTCTCTTCCCCCCCCCGCCCCCCTGCCAGGGCAACGTGGTCCTTTGGAAGCCCAGCGACTCGGCCATGCTGTCCAGTTACGCCGTCTATCAGATCCTTTTGGAAGCCGGGCTGCCTCCCAACGTCATCCAGTTTGTCCCAGCAGCGGGCACCACATTCGGGGACACCGTGACTGGCTCGGAGCACTTGGCTGGCATCAACTTCACTGGCAGCGTCCCGTAAGTCTGGGGTCTGTTTGTGTTACCGAGGCCCCATCCTCAATCCAACTCTTAAGCAAGCTCTCTGCATCCTCCCCAACCTTGCCCCCTTCTTACAGATATTGGGCATTTTTAAAACACACTCCTGCCCCTTGCAGCTTTCCTGACCTCACTGGGATAGAAAGCTGGATGGGCTGGCCTCTTCATCAACAACACCACTTGGGCCCTCTCAGTGTGGCATGGACCCTGGGGTCCCACCCTCCACCCATATCATTCCAACAGCTGTAAACCTGTAAGCGGAAGTCCAGGCACTCCGCCTTCAACCCCCAACGCTTCTCCATCTTCTCTGTTTCCCCCCCCCCCCAAAAAGGTCCAATCGAGGTAGGACTTAAACAGAACCAGTAAATATTTTGAGAAAGCTTCCAGGGTCAATGCAATGTTGTTGTTATGATTTCAATGCCCGTCCCCTCTTTCAGAAGCCTGTTGTTGGTGGGTCCCGGGGATTGCAATCCAGAAAGAAAATAGTTCAGCTTTCTTAGCGCTCTCTCTCTTTCTTTCTCTCTCTCTCTCTCTCTGTCTCTCTCTCTCTCTCTCTCTCACACACACACACACACACCCCCTCCCCTTCTCTTCCCTTCCTTGATTTCAAGTGTGACCAGCGTCTTGCTTTTCAAAACAATAAAAATGCTAATAGCTTCACCCCAGGAGTTCCACACTCTGCCTTTTAATTTATGAGCTGCTCCCCCACCACCTTAAGGACGAGCCCAGCGAGCATGGTTTTTCTCCTCCTCCCCCCCTCTTTTTAGAAAGCCAGCGATTGCAAGCATCGGGGAGGGGGGAGGCCTTCCCGCTCCCCCTCCCCAAGACAGCCTCTGCTGACACACCGCTTGTGAGAAATACTAAACAGCTGGCCCTCTCCTTACAAAGAATGTTGTCTCCTGGTTTTTAAGAAGTTTCTGCTTTCAGTGCTTGTGGCATTGGGGTGGGGGTGGGGGCAGGAAGCCCTAAGAGAACAAGAGGGGCTTCCCCCTAACCCCAGTCAGCCTTGGCTTGTCTGCGCAGGGAGGGGGCGGCCGAGTGGGACCCCAGCAGGGTGTGAGTTTGAAAAGAGGGGTGCCTGCAGACTTTGACAGGGGCAGAGCACCAGGAGAACAGGGGAGAAAAGTGAATAATTAGGTCTTTTCTCATCTTTTTTTTTTTTTCAAGGACTTTTAAGCATCTTTGGAAGCAGGTCTCTGAAAACCTCGACCAGTACCGCACCTTCCCTCGGCTGGCTGGGGGTAAGAACTGGGAATGTATTTGGCTTTATTTCTTTTCCTACCCCAGAAGGCAACACACACACCCCTGCAGGTAGTATGAAGGGCTCATCTTGATCGTGAATCCAAAGAGCTTTGGGTAGCTACCTAATCCGTGGCACTGACTGTCTCCGGCATATATTGCCGGCTGGCTCTTTTAAAACCAAACGGCCAAGCGGCACCCCACATGCTAAACTGGTGACAAGCAGAAAGCTCCCACCTCCCCCAGCACGGTGGGGAAGTATTTGCCCTGCTGCCCATCTCGCAGGGAACTGGCCAAGCACCCAGACCTCTTGGATTTCTCCTAAGCCCCCCAGAACTCCCACCGTGCTGCCAACTTCTCCCTTCCTCCCCCCTCAAATATTTTGCAAGTTGTTTTCAGCAATTCCACACCTGCCGGGTGTTCCCCAATAGTTTTTGCAACAACTTCAAAGCCAAGGAGGTTTTCCACTGTGGGAGTGTCAAGTCCTCCCCCAAACTGGGAGGGCGATGCCTAAAACTAGACCGTCGCCCCTCACTTGTCCATGTCTCCCTTTCCCAGAATGTGGGGGGAAGAATTTCCACTTCGTCCACGCCTCGGCGGACGTGCCCAGCGTGGTGAGCGGGACGCTCCGCTCGGCCTTTGAGTACAGCGGGCAGAAGTGCTCGGCGTGTTCCCGCCTCTACGTGCCGGATTCTCTGTGGCCTCGCGTCAAAGCTGGGCTGCTGGAGGAGCACCAGAAGATCAAAGTGGGAGACGTGAGTTGTGGCTTGGCGGTTGGGGTGCCTCACAGACTCCCCGGTGCCCCCAAAGTAGTTTCTCAAAGGGTGCTTCCCCTCCCCTCCTGCCCCCAGGCCCACCTTCAATTTCAACAGGCACTCTTGTGACTTAAGAATTAACTTTCAGGGCATGGCTGTTGAAGGATGGTCTCTTATATGTGTTTAGTCTAAGGCAGGGGTCCCCAAAACCCCGGTCCGTGGACCAGCACCGGGCTGTGGCGTGCCAGCAACCGGTCCGCACAAACAAGCAGACCCCCATCCGTGGGATGCAGGCAACACACAAAACCACGCACTCTCCAATCCACGGAAAAACCTCTTTCCACGAAACCAGTCCCTGGTGCCCCAAAGGTTGGGGGCCTCTGGTCTAAGGGATAAAGGCACAACATGAAAGGAAGGAGGGAGATGGAGGGAGAAGGGTAAAAAAGTAAGCTAGGAGGTCCTTTTTATTTTTATCGCCACCAGCAGAGAGACTTTTGAATCATTAGTTAACGGAGAACTTTACAAGATCTTGAGATCTTCCCACCTCCAGATCCAACAGGGAACTCATGCAGACTAGAATGGCTCTGTTTCTCTAGATAATAGGGAGCTCGCTGGAGCCGTGTTCAAATTTCCTCCCAAATTCCTTACCTTTTCTTTGTCAATCTTTCTCTGCAGCCAACTGAAGATTTTGGAACGTTCTTCTCTGCCGTGATCGATAGCAAGGTCAGATTGCATTCTCTCTTGTGTGTCTAAACCAGCTTTTATTTTTCCACAGGCAGAATATTTATGCTTGGTGACGTTTGCATGTGCAAACAAGGACTTGGAATCAGCACCTCTCCCTCCCTCCCTCCCCTCCCCCCCTCTCTAACTTACACCTTAGAGCAGTGGTGGCAAATCTATGGCAGGGATGCCAGAGGTGGCACTCAGAGCCCTCTCTGTGGGCACGTACGCCGTTGCCCAAGTCCTAGGCCTTGACCTGGGTCTTATAAAACCTTTGCTGCCATGTGCAAAAAAAAAAAAAAAGGTTCAATCAATCAGTCAATTTCAACTTCTCACGGGAAAAAAAAGATCTCGCAAAGTTGGAATTGATTGATTGAACTTTTTAGTCCCACCCAGTCGGCCATTACTACCGCAGCCACGCCAGCTTGAGGGCCACGCCCACCCGGCACCCGACGATGCATAAGTGGGTTTTGGGTTGCAGTTTGGGCACTTGGTCTCTAAAAGGTTGGCCATCCCTGCCTTAGAGAGTAGTTCCAATACTGAGATAGCACATACTTTGTCATCATTTTCACAAACTCGTTTCAAGGTCTAATGGTTGAGAGGAGAATGCCCTGAGATGTTTGCCTTAAGTGTTCCTGTTCTGAGATGTTTGCCTGCTCATGTGCTAGGCACACCTAGAACTCACTTCTTTGCTACACGGACATCACTGTGCAGTTTCTGCTGCTGTGTCTTTCAGGCGTTTGGACGCATCAAGAAATGGCTGAAGCATGCAGAATCCTCACCCAACCTGAACATCCTAGCTGGAGGCGGCTGTGACGATGCGGTGGGCTATTTTATCCAGCCGTGCATTGTTGAGACAACGGACCCCAAGGACCCCATCATGCAGGAGGTGAGCCTATGCGACGGAGACAGCATTTCCTCGAGAAAATGCTACATACCTCCCACAGTCTTTGCTTGTTCCCTGCGAGGCCAAATCCCCTTCCCTGCCAACTTTCTGCAAAAGTTTAAAATAGCCACGATCGTTGCAAAAACACCATTTAATTAAGGATTTTGCAAACCCTCTCCAGGACTCCCAACACCCTGCGTGGGCGGCACTGGGAAATGTAGTTTAAGCATCACCACAGAGATACCGTCCCTCTCATTTTAGATATGCTCATTTTCCTAGTGAAAGGTGCCCCACGGGTTTACAGAAATGTAGACAGTGATTTTTACAGATGCACCAGCCTTTCATTTTGGTTTGTTTTCTCTCTTTTTTTTTCTCCTCCCCACGGGTAGGAAATCTTTGGGCCGGTTCTGTCAGTCTATGTCTATCCAGAGAAACAGTACAAAGATATTCTCCACCTGATTGACAGCACGTCTCCGTACGGCCTCACAGGGGCAGTGTTTGCCCAGGATAAGTAAGAACCGGGGTGTCTCTGTGGATGTGATGGGGATCACCCTCTCCTTGGATGGGGAATTTGGAAATAACAGCCAGGTTGCATTTAAGAAGTATGTCGGCACAGAACCCAAATACTTTTAATCTTCTCCCAGCTCAACTAGAGTGTGCTAGAACAGGGCTTTTCAACCAGTGGTACGGATACCACCTATGGTACATTGGCACCTGGCAGGTGGTACGCGAGCATCCTAGAAAAGTGGTAGCACGGGAGGGGAATGAGCTGAACTGGTGGCCGCACCGCACAAGCCTGAGCGAGAGACGGCTGGAGCTGCAGGGCTGTCAGGGCTCAGCGGAAGCACCAGGATCAGCAACAGGCTCCAGCTGGAGCTCGGCGCTGATCCTGGTGCTTCTGCTGAGCCCTGAAGAAGCACCAATCAGCTGGAATGTTGCAGCGTCTCCAGGGTCTTGTGATTTACATTCAGATGCTTGGCAACTGATTCATATTTATGACGGTCACAGTGTCCCAGGGTCCTGTGAAGGGACCAGAACCTGCTGCAACCACCCAGCAGATGGGGGGGGATAAAAACCAAACACCCCCCCACCCCACCCCCGCTCCCAAGCCTCAACAGAAATGCTCACAACAATGAAAGCCAGGAGGAAGAGCACCGCCGGGCGGGCAGGCAGGTGTCTTGCTCGGCTGTGGCTTGGGGGGCACTTTTTTCAGTGCCATTGTAACTTTGAACAGTCACTAAGCGAACTGTTGTATGTCGAGGACTACCTGTACTTTATCACTTTTTTCCTTTTTTGGGTTTGGGGGATGGTCATCAAGTTTTTGACACCTTGCTAGGCGGCTGGTGGTACTCGGATGTTGCCATATCCTAAAAGTGGTACAATATACCAGCCTTAATGAAACCCCTTTGATCAGGAGAAGTATATCTTAGGACTCTGGGAAAGGGGCTAAAGTCCTTGCTGGAAGGTCTGATCTCTTTCCCCCTCCCCACATCTTTGCTCAGAGCCGTCATTGCCGAAGCCACTAAACTCCTAAGGAACGCAGCCGGGAATTTTTACATCAATGACAAGTCCACCGGTGCGGTGGTGGCCCAGCAGCCATTTGGAGGTTCTCGTGCCTCAGGTATGTAGAGATCAGATGGTGTGTGTGTGTGTGTGTGTGTGTGCTTAGGATCTGACCTCAGAATGTTTTGCAGCACTTTCTGATAAAATGCAGTTGGTGCTGTTGATATTACCATCATTATCATTGCTTTCATTATTGCTGTGTGAGTCCCCATTCCTGCCAATGGCTCCCAAGCTGAAGAAGTACAAACAAGATGACACCTTTGTTAACCACTATACCTAGTTGTGGCTTGTTGACACAAAGAAGGGAGCCTTTGTGGCACACTGCCACCTTCTTTGCCCATCGCCCAAATCTTGCGAGATGCAAAACGCGCGAGATGTTGGAAGCGAGCCTCGGTTTTCATGGGGCAATGAGATCTAGCAACTTGGAAGTGTTTGGTCGCAGAGGATGCAAATGCTGTTCCTTTCTTCTTTTGGACTCAGGAACCAACGACAAGCCGGGCAGTTCTCATTACATCCTGCGGTGGACCTCTCCCCAGGCGATCAAGGAGACCCACGAGCCGCTGGGGGACTGGAAGTACCCCTACATGCAGTGACGTGGCTTATGGGCCTTGCAGACTTGGACTGCAACCGTCGGTGCGACAGGCTGCGTTTCCCTTCAGCGGCCGTCCTTGCCGATCTCTCCGAAGGCACAAATGACAAGGAGTGAATTGATTTCCTTCTCTGTCACCTGGACATCTTTGGAGAATTTAAAAAAAAAAAATCATATCCTACTGAAAATCAAAATGTACTCCTCCACTTCATTTCTCCAGGGAGGCTTTGCTGCCGACACTCCTTAAATCCACGTTCTTCAACTTTTCTATCTGTTTCTAATACATTTTTGCCTCCTCCACTGGAGGGGAGAAGGGAATTGTGCCAAAAGCAGCCTAGTCAGTGAATCCCTTTTGTTACAGAAAAAAGAGGAACAGCCTGGGAAGAAAGTCACATCCAGAGAAATTGTGAGCATCAAATCAGCCTGCAGCAAAAGCAAGACTATTAACTCCTGTAAACGATCTTCTTGCTCATCCGAAGGAATGTGGGTGGAGGTTTTTGCTCAAAAAGTTTTGCTTGTGTGGCAGTCGCCCTCCAGATGGGGACACTGGTTCTTTTAAAAAGATTGATTTTTGTAAAATTTGAATATTCCAATCAGGGGACAAGTAATGCTTTCTTTAGAGGGTGTCTTTTGGTAGCTTGCAAACGAAGCAAGGCTAATTCTCTGCAAAAGCTCTACAGTCAAGGAACGGAAGAATGCAAATGAAATGTATGAAACTGAACGATTGATGAAAGACTGGCAAACAGCTAATTTGAAGTACCTCAAAGGGCATCAAGCTTGTAAAAATCTCCACAACTCTGTTCGTGCATCAAGCTCCCATCGCTTCCTTATCCCTGTTTTGCTGACTTAACATTTGAGCCCTTTTGTGCTTTGGAAAATTGATTTATAACGAATCGCTTAAGCAGATGTAAACCAACTTGGTTCTACTCCATTAATTCTTAACTCCGATCTTACTCATTGTTTTTGTTCCTAGATAATTGTTTTGATTCCTGGTCCAGATATTCAGACTCATGTTGTCACAATTTCCTGCCAAGCCACATTTACATTTCCAGTTTTCTTGGCTCACGTACATCGCATTTCCATCGCTCAAAGCAGGCTGTCCCTGTACAGGCAGATATGCTCCAAAATCTGCTCTTTTACTTGCACAAAAAGACTTCCTTCCTTCCTTCCTTCCTTCCTTCCTTCCTTCCTTCCTTCCTTCCTTCCTTCCTTCCTTCCTTCCTTCCTCTAAATGCTGCTTCGACTTTATCAAAGTGCAATTAATCCTCAGAACTGCAGATGATTGTTACTGCAAATAGGTCTCAACACTGGATGTGTTTCCAAAAAAAGAAAGGGGAAAAAAATCAGATAAAGCTAAATCAACCCTCACCAATTTCATGACGGCTAGATGACAGCGCCCATCTTTCCAGACAGGGCTGCTCCTTCCACATGTGGGGAGACCACCAAGTCTGTGCTCACTTGTTGAAGCTTTTCCGTTCCTGAGCGATAGGAGCAGGCAGGTTACAATCAGCCTCCCAATTCCTGACTTGGGGATGCATGGAGAACCAATAGTTGTTATGGTCATCAGAGTTTAAACAGCTTCCCTAAGTGAGTTGGGTTGATCAAGCATTGATAATGTGTCAGGAGAAGACTATTAATAAATCTTTCTGCAAAAAAAGAACCGTCTGGAGTGCATTTTTCCAGTTCAGAAAAAGGTGGCTGAATGTTATTTGTTGGGAACGGATCAGAGCCCATCCTGGGTCTTTTAAACAACCAGTGATTGGTGCTTTCAGCTCGTAGCATCTCAAGACCGGTGAACTTTGAACTCGGGGACTGAAAAAAAATCTCCAATACTTGGGAGTCAAGACAAAAATGGACCTGTCCCCTTAGCATGGAAGCTTTTAAGCTGGCAATCCGCCAACGACGGCATAGACAGGCTCAATGGTTGGGGTGTCAACGTTTCCCTCTTCACCCCAGTTCCCAAACTGGCCTTGTGTATCTGACGCAGCTGGATGCAAACAGGGCTGCTAAGATACAAACTTGAGGCTAAGCCATCATTTGACTGAAAAAAAAAACCAACGCTTTGCCTAGCTGGGAGATTAAATCCTTGTGGTTTATTGACTTATTCCTTGGCCCGGTGTTTTGTTTTTGATGGCTTGAAATGGTGCGATCCCTGTTTGCAAAGGTTCAGGTAAAAAAACAAAAAATCAGCTTTAGTCCAGCAGCCTATTTAGGAAGGTGGGACAGCCAGGTGAGTCTTCCTGTCCTAGCTTGGATGATTTGACCGTTTCCAGGCTCAGCTAATTTGGGAGATTTAAGGAAACCTCAGGCGTCCAGTGCCCGTTCTTCCCGCGTTGCTGCCAACAAAACCACACAGGGTTACCCGCAAATTCCTACAAAAGCCGCCTGCATTTTCGCCACCCGAATTAACGGTAGATCCCCGGCCTCTTTGCAGAAGGCGGCGAAATTTTGGGGCAGCATGATTCTCCTGGGCTCCAGGTTATTTTAAACCAGCTTTGGATTCGGGAACAATCGTTTTAAGACGCAGACTAGGTTACGTGGAGCAGAGGCCCCAGAAATTCTGCCGAGGTGATGGCTGTCGGGGCTCCGAAGGGCCTAAGAGGGACATGGAAATGTTTGCAAAAGAGTCAGTTTTGGCTACTTCCGCAAAGGGACAGACGGAAGAAACCCCAGCCGAAGCGCAGTAGAAAAATTTCCGTAGCCGTCGGTTACACCCAAGGAAGACCATGGCGTTTGGGCACTTTTTTCTGCTTTTCTGCTGTCGTTGCCAGCACACCTGTTTTCTGTTTGGCAAGAGATTACATCCTGGGGGGGGGACTCCATGCAGAAGCAGAGGGCATCTCTTCCCCCGCGGTACCCCCAGGTGCCCGTCTGTAAACAGTAAGTACCCGAGGGAGGAAAGGTTGAGGACGTCATTTGTGGAGACTGCAGAAATGGCCATCTGCAAAGCCGGGGGGCTCTGCTCAACCGGGGGACTGGCCATGCCCAGATCTTGCCAGCCCCCTGGCACCTGCCTTGTCTGGCTGGAAGGGTGCCATTCTGCACCATTACAGAATGGGCAGGCCTGGAACTGATGCATGCTTAAGGCTTGGGTTAGGAAAGGAGACAAACTGGGCCACAATCTTACTTGAGGTTTACTCAGCCTCAAGTTTCCTCGTCTGTGTTACAGGGGTGTGCGTGATTTAAATGTGCTGTCTTCCTGCTCCGGCCACTGTCAGGTATCTTTCCAAAAGGGATCTGTCCGTGTTTTAACCCCTCCCTTGGCAGACTCCCAATGGGGTCCCTTCCCTCCAAGTGATTGGGGCCACAATGGATTTGCAACTCCTTCCAGGAATGCTCTAGGAACGGGTCGCCCCTCAACTTCTTGTGGCGTCCACGGTTTTAGGGCGCTGCTCTTTTCATGTCACACGGTGATATAAAAGTACAATTTTTGGTGCCGGCTGCCACTGACATCTTGGAAATGGGGGAAAGGAAGGGGCATAGAGGTGACTCACTTGGAGAAAGTAAATAAGGAAGAAAGGTCTTTTTTTAATCTTATGAGATAATAATAATAATAATAATAATAATAATAATAATAATAATAATAATAATAATAATAATAATAATAATAATACTACAACGATATCTGTAATACCATCAAACATCCACATCTGCCTATCCCAGATGCCAAATCCAGTCTGAACATCTGGCTGACTGTGTGATGATCAATAATAATAATAATAATAATAATAATAATAATAATAATAATAATAATACCTGGTTGACACCTAGGATGCTGGTAGCAATCCGTGTCAACCATCAGCGCCAGCCAATTTGAATGTTCAGTTGACTGAGGTTCATGTCTAATAAATTAATAATAATAATAATAATAAAGTTGGAAGGGACCTTGGAGGGTCATCTAGTCCAACCCCCTGCTAAGGCTGGAAACCCTATACCATTTCATACAAATGGCTGTCCAGTCTCTTCTTAAAAACTTCCAGTGTTGGAACATTCATCGCTTCTGGAGGCAGGTTGTTCCACTGGTTAATTGTTCTCACGGTCAGGAAGTTTCTCCTTAGTTCCAGGTTGCTTCTCTCCTTGACTCCTTGGCTGAAAGATTTAAAAAAGGGGGGCTGTGGTCCTCCCAGTGTGTTCTTCGGATACAAAAATGCTACAAACTGAGATTAGTTGCTTGTTTGGCCAGAGGATCAAACTCCCACCAAGGCCATCACGCTCCCAGGGCTGATTTTGGAGGGGACGGGGATGATGGAGCAGAAAACCTTTTGGTGACACTCACTGTCCCTTTTTTTCTGCCTCTCCCCCCTTTCACAGGGACACGCTGAGGATAGTCAGCTCCAGCTCCTTCCAAGCCATGCGGTTTGCGGTGGAGGAGAACAGCAACTCCACCAGCCTTTTGCCCAGGATCCTGCTGGGCTATGAAACGATGGACATCTGCTACCTCACCCACCCCGTCCACCCCATCCTGTGTTTCCTCGAGGACAACTGCTCAACGATCCAAATCCAGAGGAATTGCACTTTGTCCTATCCGGGAGCGCTCTCCGTCATCGGTCCAGATTCCTCCCCGGCAGCCATCAGGGTGGCTTCTATTCTGAGTCACGTTCTTATCCCGCAGGTGAGCAATTGATTCTCTCCAGGAAAAGCGGGAGAAGGTCTGCCAGGTTCATTGCAGGCATTTTTTAAACAGGATAAAATAATCACTGTGGCATATTAATCCCCAAATGAAAATTGGAAGCACAATATGGCACAAATTAAGTGGCTTAAGCTAACAGGCTAATAATATGAGTGCTGGGAGGGGGAAGGAAGGAAGGAAGGAAGGAAGGAAGGAAGGAAGGAAGGAAGGAAGGAAGGAAGGAAGGAAGGAAGGAAGGAAGGAAAAGCACTCTCTGTAATGTTGGTCTCTCTCTGTCCCTCCCTCTCCCTCCCTCCCTCTCCCTCCCTCCCTCTCTCTCCCTCCCTCTCTCTCCCTCTCTCTCTCCTCCCTCTCTCTCCTCCCTCTCTCTCTCTCCTCTCTCTCCCTCTCTCCTCCCTCTCTCCCTCTCCCTCCCTCCCTCCCTCCCTCTCTCTCTCCCTCCCTCTCTCTCTCCTTCCTCCCCTCCTCTCTCCCTCCTCCCTCCCTCTCCCTCCCTCCCTCTCTCTCTCCCTCCCTCTCTCTCTCTCTCTCTCTCTGCTATCTAGAGGTGTTGGGAATCCCAGAATTCTCAGGTCACCGGGACGTCTGGGAGGGTTGGGGTCCCCACACATCTGGAATGGCCTGGTCTGCAGAGCCATGAACCCCACAGGTGTCCATTTTGAACCTCCCTCTCGAGGGTCTTTGGCGGCATCTCCATCTTAAAATCTCACCACCTTGAGGGTTCAAATCCTTCGGCTGACCGAGCAGCATCTAACAAGGGAATATTGTAATATTTATGACTTCACTCGGTCCAAAATTAGATATTTCTAACCCAGGCCCAGAAAGAGAAGGAGTTTATGATCCAACTGGGGGTGTCTGTTTTTTTCCTTCTTCAGACCCCCCCCCCCAAATCTACCTGCTCCAAGCAATGCAGCCCGGGGCTCCCTTTCCTGCTGCTTCGAGTGTGTGGCATGCGAAGCAGGCACGTTCCCCAACGACAGCAGTGAGTTTCTTCCTTGAAAGCCTGCTGGCATTTCTCTCACCACAAAGCCCATCGCCCACAGCCCCTGAATTTCCCAGAGCGGACAGTTCTGCTTCCTTTGGTGCCGGCAGAAATTTTAACAAGTGACCCAGGAAGGCGCAAGAACCATTTTTCATTCTTGAAATACATTTCGTAGAGAATGAAAAACAGCAGCCCAAGTTGTCCAGCGAGAAGCTGATTGAAGCTCTGGGTTCCTCCTTCATTTTGACTTTTCTCCAAAAAAACCCCAATCCCAGATTATTTTAGCCTCCCCAGGAATCCAGCAGAGTCGAGAGAGACCCATCTTTGTGTTTTTCCTCCCCTAGACAGGTTTACCTGCCAGAAATGCCCACCGGACACCTGGCCAAGAAGCCTCCTTCGAAAACGCTCGTGGTGTACCTGCAGGGGGACCATCCCGCCCCCATCGTGCTGCTCCTCTTCTCTGCCCTCGGCCACCTTGCCCATCCTTACCACCTTGGCCTATCACGTCAACACCCGGTAGTGAGATTGGCCTGCAGCAGGTTATGTTTCCTCATGTTGTCCTCCCTTGTCTTTGCCTTCTGCAGTGTCTTCTCCTACGTGGGGTCTCCACCGAGCTGAGGTGTCTCTTCTGCCTGGCCGGCTTCAGCGTTTGCTTCATCGTCTGTTCCTTCCAAGATGGTGGCCTGGCTGTCCACCGCCTTCACCGCCTGGTCCATGTCCAGGGGGCAGTGGGTCTTCATCGCCACCATCTCCGCCCTCAAGCTGGCCATTGTGACAGCCTCCAAAGCCCGTCTAGGCTGTCCTCAGCCCGGCTGAGCTTTTCCTGACGTGACGTACCAACTACGTTTCCGTGGTTGTAGTCAGCCACGTCTTCAACGTGGTCCTCTCCTCCCTGTGCTTCTGCTTGGCCTACGCAGGGAAGGCGTTGCCGAAGAGCTACAATGAAGCCAAGTTCAACACCCTCGTCATGGTGGGCTACTCCAGCTTCTGGGTGCTGCTGGCCCTGGTCACCACCGTCTCGGAAGGACGATGGTCGCCATCACTGAGATGTTCTTTGTGGTCTTCAACCTGCTCAGCCTCTCCTTGGGCTACTTCGGGCCCAAGGGTCGCGTCATCTATGTCCTCCCGGAACGTAATACGGTGGCCTTCTTCCAGGCAGCCATTCAGGGCTACAGCATGGACCAGGGCTAGAGGTATCCTCAGCCCCATTATTCCTTTGCCCCAGCACTCCAGCTGGAAATATTTGTCTGAAACGGTATAGGTTCTCCTGCCTGGGCAGGGGGTTGGACTAGAAGACCTCCAAGGTCCCTTCCAACTCTACTCTACTCCACTCCACTCCATCTCTATTCTATTCTATTCTATTCTATTCTATTCTATTCTATTCTATTCTATTCTATTCTATTCTATATTCTAGCTATTCTATTCCATATTCTATTCTATATTCTGTTCTGTTCTATTTTACTCTATTCTATTCTATATTCTATTCTATTCTGTTCTATATTCTGTTCTGTTCTATTCTATTCAATATTCGATTCCATTCCATTCTATCTCTCTATTCTGTTGTATTCCTATTCTTATTCTATTCTATTCTATTCTATTCTATTCTATTCTATTCTATTCTATTCTATATTCTATTCTGTTCTATATTCTATTCTGTTCTATGTTCTATTCTATATTTTATTCTATTCTATATTCTATTCTATTCTATATTCTACTCTATTCTATTATATTCTATTCTATATTCTATTCTCTTTTGTTCTATATTCTATTCTATATTCTATTCTATTCAATATTCCATTCCATTCCATCTCTCTATTCTGTTCTATTCTTATTCTATTTCCTCTTTATTCTATTTTATTCTTATTCTAAATAAATACAATAAAAAAACCTCTTCGTGTCTCTGTGATTACCAGATCTGTCTTGGTTTAGCCAGTCAGTTGCAGAACAGATCCCTGATTTGTAAATTATAGCAATGTTTTTATGCTTCTCCTTCAGACATTTAGACATGGGACTTCTCTTACAGACAGTCCTTGACTTATGACCACCATTGAGCCCAACGTTTCTGTTCCTATGCGAGACAGTTGTGAATTTTGCCCCATTTCACGACCTTCCTTGCCACTGTTGCGGTTGTTAGCAACACGGTTGTTAAGTGAATCTGGCAAAGGTTGTAGGTGTGAAAAATGGTCCCAAGTCCCTTTTTTTCCAGTGCTGTTGTAACTTCAGTCACTAAATGAACTGTTGTGAGCCGAGGACTACCTGTAACACCGTCCTTGCTGCTTGCATTGGATCTCTTTTTTGCAGTTTTTAAATTTGTATTATGGGTGCAATAAAAAAAGCTGTTTTGTTGTGCTTTTACTTTTTACCGAGATTTTTTTCCTCTGTAATTTGACTGTATTTTTTTTTGTTCTAATATGTTGTCTTTTACATCTTTTTTTACCTCCATTGTACTCCGTTGTTTTTGTCAATTTTCTGCAAACCATAATTTGACTCCCCCCCCTTACGTTGTTTTTAGACTGCCACAGAGATAATAGCAGGTGAGTTTAAAATGCCAGCTTTTCTTTCTGCTTTTAAACACCAATGATGGGTTTTATTTTATTTCTTTTACATTGTGGCATACATTTCCCCTGAAACTTGTGTTGTGCTGTCCTTTTATTGCCACTTCAATTCCCCAATAAAAAAAAACAACCAAAATTAAAAGAATGGCTGGGCAAAGGGTGCCTGTCCCTTTAAGGCTCTACTCAAGAGGGGCTAACTATTAATTAACTGCTCTTCCCCCCCCCCCAGCTGGGCCCTTCAGGGAACCTGCAGAGGGAAGACATGGCAGCAGGGGCTTCTCAAGGCTGTGGGGAGAAAAAGGGGGTCCCAACTGGGCCCAGGGCCCCCTCCCCAAAGCCGTGTGGCCCCAGGCTCTCCCAGAACTGGGCTTCAGCCAAGGAACCTCCTGGCCAGGTGAGCCCCTTCAGAGACCCCTTTCCTGCCTCTGGGGAGGAGGGGGCACATTGGGCAGGGCTGCTGGGGAGGATGGGGGAGGTAGTTCAAAGCCCTTGGCAAGGGGGGGAGTGGTGTGGTCCCTTGGCTGTCCTCAGGGCCTGGCTTTTGCAACTGGGGGGAGTCCAATGGGTTTATCCCCCATGTTGGGGGTTTTGGGAGGGGTCTTGGGGGTTTGTTGCGGGGGGGGGGAAACAATTGCAGGAAATGCAAACACACCCATGCATTGCACAAATTTTAGGACAGGAATGCCATAAAAAGCAGAAATTTCCCTCCCAAATTTGGCTAAGAAGCTTCAGCTGCGGCTCCTGAATTGTAATTAAGAATAAAAGAAGGGTGGTTTTTTTTTTGTTTTTCTTTTAATGGGAGACCTGTTTAATTTTTAATACTTTTTAATGCATTTATTAACTGTTTCCAGCTCTGCTGTACATCACCCAAAGTCAGCTGTGGATACAAATGGGTTTAATAAACAATATTTTTTTAAAAAATGGATGCCGGTCACTTGCCAAACTGGTGGGAATTTGGAAGGCTTTTGTTGTTTGGATGCATTTTTTTTTTTTTTTTTGGTCAAAATGTTGATAAAATTGTTTTATTTTGGTAAATCCAGCATTTCAAGTTCAGACCCCCTGAACTATTTTTTTTCCTTCCAACTTAAAAGGAGGTTCAGTTTTTAGGACGCGTTTATTGCAAAAGTAAAATGGAGGAAATAAGTAAAGTCTGGCTTTGCAATCTCCAATTCGGTTTAAATGTTCCCAAATTATTTTAAAGGGAAAAAGAACTGAGGTGCAAAAAACATTTTGGGATTTACTGATATATGAATTGCTATAATATTGTTTGGCCTGAATGGGAATTATATGCTAGGTGCATAATTTGGGACGGTTGAGGGTTTTTAAATATTTTACTGAAAACCTGAGCTTTATTACACACATAATAGGGTCTTTTTCTGTCGCTTTTCCCTCAGTACAATAAAATAGCTGTTTAAAAAGCCTTTTTAAAAGGAAAAAGTCCCACACCACACAGCTGTAGCTAATGCTGCCCAATGGAATGCTGGGAAATGTAGTTCAGCCCCACCTGAAGGGCTACAAATTCCCCAGTTGCAGCATGCCTGGCTGAGGAATTCTGGGAGTTGAAGTCCACAAGTCCTAAAAGGGCCAAGTCTGAAGACCCCTGCCTTAAATCTAACAAACAAAATGGAGGCTGGCTGAGGAATTCTGGGAGTTGAAGTCCACAAGTCCTAAAAGGGCCAAGTTTGAAGACCCCTGCTTTAGTGCTTTCCCTCAGGGCTGCCTGGGATTGGGAAGGGTCTCTGAGCAGGGTGGGCAACCTGGCAGGGTGGTTTTTCACCCATTTTAGGCACTTTTGTGCATTTTCTCCTCTTTCAGGAGCCCCCCATGTATGGCTTTCTCTCAGAAAATGCCTTTTTTCCCCACCCCAGAATAGACTTTTACATTCTCTTTGAAGGTTTCTGTTACCCCCCCCCCCCCGAGCCCCAAATATTCTGGAAATAAATCTAATTTGAGGGACCTCACCCCAGTCCAGTGGGTTTACAACGGGCCACTACGAGAACGGAACAGCAGATGGTGCTATTTCACTCAGCCTGCAATAATTCAGATATAAACAGATTTGTTTAGTGGAAAACGCTACCAAATTCTTTATGATTGGCGTAGATTTGCTCATTTGCAACCATGGGGCCATTACAACAACCCTTTTAGGTGGCACAAACACCGGTGGGCCTGTAACCATTTAAGCTGTGCTTCAGGCCACTACGTTCCCCATTTTCCTTCTTTCCAACATTAACAATCCTAGTTTGCTTTCTCTTTGGAAACTACCGGCAAAATTTAACACCCAGTTCCCACGTTTGGCAGATAAGATATTTTCTGTATCTGGTAAACAGTTAGAAAATTGTGCATTTGGGATTTCCTTCCTTCCTTCCTTCCTTCCTTCCTTCCTTCCTTCCCTCCCTCTCTCCCTCCCTCCCTCCTTTCTTTCTTTCTTTCTTTCTCTCTCTCTCTTTCTCCTCCCCTCTCTCTCCCTCTTCTCTTTCCTTCTCCCTTCCTTTCTCTTGTTCATCCCTTCCTCCCTCCCTCCTTTCCTTCCTTTCTTCCTTCCTTTCTTTCTCTCTTCTCCTCCCCCCCTCCTTCTCTTCTCTTCCCTTACTTTCCCTTCCCTCTTCCCTTCACTTCTCTTGTTTCTTCCTTCCCCCTTTCTTTCTTTCTTTCTTTCTTTCTTTCTTTCTTTCTTTCTTTCTTTCTTTCTTTCTTTCTCGCTCTCTTTCTTTCTCTTTCTCGCCTTCTCCTCCCCTCTCCCTCTTCTCTTCCCTTTTCCCTTCCCTTCCCTTGTTCCTTCCTTCCTTCCTTCCTTCCTTCCTTCCTTCCTTCCTTCCTTCCTTCCTTCCTTCTTTCTTTTTCTTTCTTTCTTTCTTTCTTTCTTTCTTTCTTTCTTTCTTTCTCTTCTCTTCTCTTCTCTTCTCTTCTCTTCTCTTCTCTTCTCTTCTCTTCTCTTCTCCTCTCCTCTCCTCTCCTCTCCTCTCCTCTTCAAATCCTTGCATGCAGAAAGCCAGGTGTTGGGGAGATAGATTACATTTCCTCTCTCATGTACTATGTTTTACTTCCCAAATTATTTCTGAGCAATATTTGTGGCTCAGGAGGGGATCCTCAACTGACTTAATATTTATAATATCTAAACAAGGTAAAAAAAATTGCTCTTAAGGCTAATGTTCTCTTTGTCATCTTAATCACAGCATCCCTGCAAAAAAGAACAGAAGCTGGGAATGTTTTGGACAATTACAATACGACTTTTATCGAGACGCTTTTGCAGGTATTTTTTTTTTTCTTCTTCTCGTTTTTGTTTGCCGGAATTGTGTCTAAGCCTTTATTGATAGGATTTAAATACAGAAGCATTTAAATGAAAGCAATTTGACTATAGAAGCCTCTCTCGCCTGCAAACATGCTTCCTGTGAGGTAGATTAGCAGATGCTATCCAGAAGTAATTTTTCCGCCGGCCACTCGGGTGAACAAACAGATCCAGCTACGTGGAATAAAATATCTGCCTGACAGACAGTTTCCTAGAAGGGGACCGTTGCATGTAAATCTCCTCTTGTGTGAAAAAGAATCAAGGATGCAAAGGGGTTTGACAAGTGATGGATTTGTGGGCAAGGAACAGCGTGTGCCCAGGGAATGCATTTCACCAAATTTCTCTAGGGGAGAGGGTTTGGGGGGGGGGGAACCAAACTTGTGTGCCTGTTAGCTGTTGTAAAACAAAGCAATCGTTGGAGAAAAATTTGACTGAGGTGCCAAAGCGGGGGAGGATCTGAGGATTTTTTTTCCCCCAGCCCTAATTTGCTAGTAATTGCCCACTTCCCGTCAAGTTCGGGATAGAATCAACTGTGTTCCCCAACATTAAAATTATGAAAACAGGAGGCAGGTGGCACTTGGGGGCCGTCGGCCTCAGCCTTCCCCCCCCAGCTCAATCTCCGAATGTCTCCAAGCCTGGCTGGGGGGCAGACAGAATAGGGAGGTGGGGCAGCAGATCCTACCCCCTCAATTCTCAGAGTACTCCAGGGAGGCCTTGTCTAAACACTCCCGAACTGGAGCCAGGGAAATTTGAGGGAGAAGAACAGGTGAAGCGAGTTGGCGCCATTCTTACCCTCCTATTTCTCCCCCGGGGGCAGCCCCTCTCGAGATAAATTATTTGCAATTGTCCAACAGCCTCTAAGCTGGTTCACATGGCATTATCATTTTTTTATTATTTTTTTTTTTAAAAAATGCACATTTTATATATATATATATATATATATATATATATATATATATATATATATATATATATATATATATATATATATCCAGACGTGCCAAGGGAAGCAGAAGAGAGCGGAGAAAAGCAAAAGAGAGATTTGCATGGTGAAGTCAATCCTTGGGAAAGCTTGTTCGGGAAGGTGGAGATTTGAAAGCAAGGAAATGGCCTTCCCATGGGCTGCACCAGTTGTGTGTGTGTGTGTGTGTGTGTGTGTGTGTGTGTGTGTGTGTGTGTGTGTTGGTGTTCCAAAGGTTTTGCACGGCTCACGGTCTTAAAATGCAAGCTTCTGTGCAGAGAGAGACAGGGGTCCAGAAAACACCCTTCTCCCAAAAATACAGTTAGTTGTTGCTCCCCAGGAAAAACCATTGCATCAGGGTTTACAGGAGGAGGCAGCAAATTATAATTTATTTTAGTCCATTTGATTAAACTCTCTTCTGCTTTAGGGCCAGATCACCCCACCTGGATGGTCGGAGATATTTTGACCCATAGCAGACAATTCCCACCTGTAAATTTTGCCTGGTTCTGCTTTGTCTCTTCCCTTGACGCTGTGCCCAGCAATGGGAGCCCCAAAGGCCTTGTGGGGGGAAAAAAACCCCACGACGCCCTTGGGTGTATCTCCTACGTGCAAAAGGTAAAAGACACTGCACTCCCTAATTTGAGCCACAGGATCTCTCATTTAATTTCCTAACAGAAATAAAACAGGTCAGGAGATAGATAGATAGATAGATAGATAGATAGATAGATAGATAGATAGATAGATAGATGGTAGGTAGGTAGGTGGTAGGTAGGTAGGTAGGTAAGTAGAGACAGAGACAGAGAGACAGATGATAGAGTGATAGGAATAGATAGGAATAGAAATATGTTGCATATATAAATTAAATATATTGCAATATATACTGTATATACACTATATGTGTCTGTGTATGTATATGGGCACCCGCACCTACCTACCTACCTACCTACCTACCTACCTACCTACCTACCTACCTACCTACCTATCTATCTATCTATCTATCTATCTATCTATCTATCTCTATCTATATCTATCTCTCTATCTGTCTATATCTATCTATCCATCTCTGTCTGTCTGTCTGTCTATCTATCTATCTATCCATCTCTATCTATCTATATCTCTCTATCTGTCTATATCTATCTATCTATCTATCTATCTATCTATCTATCTATCTATCCATCCATATCTAACTATCTGTCTGTCTGTGTCTGTCTATCTATCTGTCTATCTGTCTCTGTCTGTCTGTCTATCTATCTATCTATCTATCTCTATCTATATCTCTCTATCTATCTGTCTATATCTATCTATCTATCCATCCATATCTAACTATCTGTCTGTCTATCTATCTATCCATCCATATCTATCTATCTATCTATCTATCTATCTATCTATCTATCTATCTATTGCATTTTTTACCCCTAACAGGGACATTACACGGTGCTTTCCTCTTACATCTCAAAGATACAGCAGTGACATAGAAGGTGGGCAAAAAACCCCCGTAAATAAATCTAAGAATCCACTGAAATTTAGATGGATGCCACAAGGCTTGTGATCCCCCCGGGAGACGAACCCCAGCCTCCCCCATTGCATTCTAGGCTGCCTGCTTCCCGTCTCCTGTTCCCACATCTGAAGGTTTCCATTTTAATCTGGGCTTCTTTTCCAGTGCCAGGCCGCCTCTCTCGGAGTGCAGGTGTGGCCCATCCAAACTGCTATTTTTTTCCCCAAATGTTTGGCTGATGTCTTTTTCCTGATGACTCCTCTCTGATGGTTCCCCCCCTCCCTTTTAGCGTTTTGTTCAATATCTTCTCTTCTTCCCGAACTGCTTTTCGGCTTGCAGGGACCTTTCCCCCCTTGGCAGAGCTCTTTGGGGTTCGGTCTTCAGGGCAGATGCCAGACCCCCCGTTTGGATCCCTTATCCGTTTCCTGAGCGGGGGGGGGAGGGGGGAGAATCAGCACATCTGAGATATTGGATCCTCCATCTCCAGTTCCAGCCCGCTTCCTTCTTCGCTTGCTCGCTTTAATCCTGGCGGGCTGCTTCTCCTTTTTCAGTGCCGGATTCTTCACGCTTTGAACAACTTGCTTCTCTTGTGTTTATCGCTTTTCCTTTTGGGTTTACACGGCCTGCTTTCATGGACAATCGTGTAGGAACAAAACCAATTAAGATCGTATCACGGTTGAAGTGGACCTGTTTAATTGTCTTTTTGTTCCCTCCCTCTCCACGGTACGTTTCTACCTCCCACGCGACTCAGGGGGGGTGGAACATGGTAAGACGCTTAAAAAAAAAAACCAGGAAAAAAACTGGCTAGTAAGGTGGGGGGGAGGGCACTCTGCATCTGCTCAGAGGCACTCTTCACAATGGGTTCCATGCCAGATGCAGCCTTGCTCCACTAGATGGTGCTGTGGCAAGCAGCTTTCTCATTTGCATGGTCGGGTCTCCGAAACGGGATTGGCCTTTTCTGTGCGGTTGACCCCTCTGATCCCTCCCCATTCTCCTGATTGGCTGGGAGACCTATATAAATTATCCCACCAGCGTCTGGACTATGCATTTCGAACACAGAGCTCAGACCAAGATTGTTCTACCATATTCGGCTTGTGTTCACACAACACACCAAAAAATGTTCGTTAAAGATCTACCAACTTTTGTAAAATCTGTTAGGTTTAGTTTTTCAGGTTGTGTGTTTTTTTGTGAATCCAGAAGGCTAGAAAACCATCCTGGGCACAACTAGAAACCTAACCAACAACCCTTTGAATTACAAGGATGGGTTGATTCAAAAACTTGGTTGTGTACTAATTTAGTTGTTTCCCCCAATAGTAACTGTCACAAAATAGGTGGATGACTGGGGGAAATTTGATTAAATATTAAAAATTTAAATAGATTAAAAATAGAAAAAATAGAAAAATAGATAGCTAGATGATGGATGGATGGACCATCCATATCTATCTATCTGTCTATCTATCTATCTATCTATCTATCTATCTATCTATCTATCTATCTATCTATCTATCTATCATCTACCTACCTACCTATCTAATTACTATCCATCCTTCCATTCTCTCTCTATCTTTCCATCCATCCATATCTATCTATCTACCATCCATCCATATCTATTTATTATCTATCCATCCATATCTATCTATCTATCTATCTCTGTCCATATCTATCTATCTATCTATCTATCTATCTATCTATCTATCCATCCACCCATCCATCCATCCATCCAACCATTCACCTACCTTCCTACTATCTATCTATCTATCTATCTATCTATCTATCTATCTATCTATCTATCTATCTATCTATCTATCATCTACCTACCTACCTACCTAATTACTATCCATCCATCCATCCATCACATTTTCCCTTTGACCCTACTGACCCTTTTCACTGTCCTTTATCGCCCCCCAGAACTTTTGGTCCCTTTGGGGGGGGCTTTCCTTTGCACCCTGCTTTTCTTTTCCTTTCCCCTCCCCCCCATTCCCTCTGGGCCTGCCACCCTGCCAGCGTCTTGGCCGAGGGGAGCGTAGCAAATCCTGCGGAATGACGCAGCTGCGGAAACGGAGAAAGAAACGCGCGGGGTGCGCCACCTCCTCGGGAGACACGCCAACCCCTGGCAGGGGTGCAAGGCTTTTAGCAGGACATCTGCCCCAGTGCCTCGGCCAAGACTTTCGGCTCAGGAGGTGACCAACCGGGTCACCAAAGTTCACACATTCCCCTTTATTTACACCCCGTTTTCCCTCTTCGGCTGATGGGAGCCTTCGCCGGAGCTGAACCTGATTTGCAAAACATTTAAAGCCAGGCTACCCGTTACTCTTCCGAAAAGAAGCTCTGGAGAGATCCCAGAAGGATAAATAATCTGCCTGATAAATTATAAGGTCATCCGATCCCGGTGGCATCTGAGCTGGAAGTTGCTTCCTGACTCATTTCAGCTCCTCAGCTCTCCAGCTTCCAGTTTGCTTCCCAGAGGCAGCAATTAGCAACGATGGAGCTTCTAGGTGCAGAGGCAGT